CGGCCAATGGAATGCCCCTCTTCATCCATGTTGCACTTCAGAATTGTAGCTTCATCCCATAGTTCCTTCCAGGTCACTTTTACTAACCCTGCTATGTTGTTTCTGGGATTTTCCCACCCGCTCCACCCTCTATCCCCTTCCCAATTTGTCAACAATACTGTTAGCAGGTACCAGGGAATGAGGGTCAACATGGGTATTCAAGTATCAGCAGGTAGTTAAGTGCAGATGTTAAAGTTAAGAAATTATAAAGTGCTTTAGCTTCTTACGTTGTTACGGCTAAAGTGCTGTAGTATAGGCGAATGGGATTAAAGTGCGCAATTTATAAAGTGCAGATTGTACTCAATGGATAAAGTGCTGGCAGATGGAAAATTAGCAGCATTAGTCAAGACGATAGTAACAATATTCCTATGATAACAGTGCAGCCACAATGCAGAATGTATAACAGTCCTCAAGTTTGTTGTTATACCTAATTCCTATTTAGCCCCCCTCCCCCCAGTACAACAGTCCTAGGGCAGAAGGGCAGAGGGGAGTAGGTCTTATAAAAATCCCCAGGTTATGGCTGTTGTGAACTTTACAAGGAATGTTAGATGGAGATGGTCCCAGTGGCTCCGGAATCTGACAATAAGTTGGTAATATGATGTTCAGTTCAATATCTTCTGGAATGGAGGCGGATGAGGATGGTAATCTAAAGATGGCAATTCAGTGGCGACAGCCGATGGTAATTCTGTAACAGCAGCAATGACACAGAAAGAGATTCAGCCAACCAGCTGGTGGCTCAATGCCGAAGCAGGAGACCCAGGAGAGCCTCTGTGCCCGCTGGGTTAAGGCGCGGGTAGCGTCGCTTTGGGCGCCAGAATGACCTCATCCGAGCGCGCTAACCCAGCTGACTCTAGGACCTCCACCGAAAAGGCGCTGCGGAGGATAGTCCTCGGAGGATGGATCGCAAGGTAGCGCCTCCTAGTGGTGCGGAGGAGCCACACACAGCTTACGGGCCCACGAGCCGGCACGGTGGAAAGCGGGCAGGGAAACAACCCACAATCGTCCCTCCAGGCGGCAACGGCCCCGTCCCTCCAACAGCGATGGGGCTGACGAGCCCGGGCCTTCGAAGCAACGAGGAAGGGGCGGCGGCCTCGCCTTCTCCTCCTCCCCCGGAGCGGCGGGAGGAAAGGGAGCGTCGCGGTGGGGCCTAGCAGGCCCGATGGGCTCGCGGGGCGGCGGCCTTGCCTTTTCCTCCTCCCCCGGAACGGCGGGAGGAAAGGGAGCGTCACGGTGGGGCCTAACAGGCCCGATGGGCTCGCGGACGGCGGCCTTGCCTTCTCCTCCTTTCCCGGAGCGGCGGGAGGAAAGGGAGCGTCGCGGTGGGGCCCAGCAGGCCTAGCAGGTCCGATGGGCCGCGTCGGCTAGGCCGCGATGGAGGCCATCCCCTCCCGGAGCTCGGAGCACATCGCCGGACGGCCAGAGGTTAGGAGGTGCAGTAAGTGTGTAGATAAACATAATAGTACAATCTGATGATTTAAAGAGTCACTTGTAGATGTTTCGAAGGACTATTTGTGGCATCCAAGGTTGTGTCAGAGAAGAGTTCTACATGATGACCAGATATCTGTGTTCTATATATCATCTGGGAGATTGACAAATAATGTGTTTGGTCTTATTCTTTCAACCAGAAATGCAGCAAAGGAAGAAGAAAAAGCAAACCTTACTGCTAAAGCCTTGGAAATGTCTCTGAAATATAAGTTTGTGACTCCTTTAACATCCATGATAGTCACAAAACCAGAAGATAATGAGGATAAAGCCGCTCTTGCAGACAAACCTCTAGAAGGTACAAATCCATTGTGATTTTTAATAATCTACAAGAGAGTGGTGGACCCTGAGAAATGCATATTTAGTTGGTGAAAGTTGATCTTTAATGCAAGTGGGTAAGGGTTAAACAGCTGAGATGCTGAACTTGCTGACCAAAATGTTGGCAGTTCAAATCCGGAGAGTGGGGAGAGCTCTTGCTCTTAGCCCCAGCTTCTGCCAACCTAGCAGTTTGAAAACATACAAATGTGAGTGAGATCAATAGGTACTGCTTCTGCGGGAAGGTAACGGTGCTCCATACAGTCAAGCTGGCCACGTGACCTTGGAGGTGTCTATGGACAATGCCCGCTCTTCGGCTTAGAAATGGAGATGAGCACCACCCCCTAAGAGTTGGACACAACTAGACTTAATGTCAGGGGAAATCTTTGCCTTTTAAGGGTATTGAATAAATTTCATTCAGTACTACAATGTGCTCCAAATTTTCTGGCCAATATCTGGCAACCTTAATGACATATTTACTAATTTTTGTAACAGACAACTAAAGCTTACATTGGCATATGAATTTCCAGCATCAAGTGTATGGGGACATTAGATAGACTTCAAGATTAAAATCCCAGACCTGTTGCCCCAAACACCAAAGGTTCCCCAGCACTGATGTACACAGCTTTTCAGAATATTTATCCTCATATTTGATTATCTGGGGAAGTATTTGGCACCAAAGATGCTGTGGCAATGCAACTCTCTGGATGACATTTATATGGGTTATATTGAGCTTCTGGTGATATGTGTGATTTAATTCCTTGTCCTCTGTAACCATCTTAGAAGAGTCACATTCTGTTACTATGAGGAAAAGAGGACATTGTATGATCACTAGATCAAACTCACTGCCAAGTGAGTTTGATCACTGACAATGTTGAAATACAAAAGGTTCATTGTCACTTCTTTTCTGTGTAAAGTGGCAAAAGGTAAAAGCTTAATTAATTCTGGGAGAACTTGAAAGAGGCACCAATCCCCTCTATTCTGGGTTGTTGTAGGGTTTTTGGGCTGTATGGCTATGTTTTAGAAGCATTATCTCCTGACGTTTTGCCTTCATCTATAGCAGGCATCCTCAGAGATTGTGATGCCTGCCATAGATGCTTGCCATAGATGCAGGCAAAACATCAGGAGAGAATGGTTCTAGAATATGGCCATACAGCCCAAAAAACCTACAACAACCCAGTTATTTCGGCCATGAAAGCCTTCAACCCCTCTATTCTCTTTGCTGTGATGCCACTTCTGGCCTTTTTGAATGCATGTGTGAAAAAATGATGGTGGTGGTGGTGACCAAGGGCTGGCCAGGCTCCAAGGTAGCATTGGTGCTTTCCCCTCTCTGTGGAATGACCTTTGATTTATCCACAGATCATATATAAGGCCATCTTTTTTTCCCCCAAATCCGCCCTAAACATAAACTCAAAGTCAATCTATACATGAGTGTGTATGGTGTATTACAATGGATGTTTCTAAAGATTGTAACTCTTTTTATTATTTTTCTTTTCTTACTCACCATTGGAAAAAGCTGAGGGTAAGTTTCACTTTAATGATTATTTAATCAACATTTTCTTTAAATGATTGGATCATTGCGTACAAAACAGTTACCGTATTTCACTGCATAATACATGAGCTTTTCTCCCTTTTGGGGTGGTGGTGACTCTTATGTGATAGCGACTATTATGAGGCAAAATAATTAGTTATTTTCCCTTGGCTAACAGCTATGGGAAGCCCCATAGCTGCAAAGGGGGAAGGCGCAGGAGAAAGGAGCTCCATTTCCTCATGCACCTTAGAGAGTTCACCTAGCCACCCATCTCTTACCTCCAGGCTACAAGTCTCTGTAGCTCGGAGGGGAGAGATGGGTGGGCAAGTAATATAGATCAGTAAATTGATTTGTCCTATGTAATTGTATCTTTGTATCTTTGTACAAAATTAACCACTGGCTACCCATAGAGTCAGAGCAAATAGACCCATCATGAATGAGGTGCGCTTCATATACCTTTGGACCCTGCGCTGCTTGGAGAACTAACACTCAGGTGCAAGTCCGAGATGAATTTGTAAAATTTGTGTTTGACAAAAGAGACCTTTATCTGACCATCTCCACATTACAAAGATATTAACTCTCAGGGTCTATCTGCAGACATTTTAGTAAAGAGAAACATGACTAATGGAGGGAGACTGCAGAATCTTTCATTTGAATTGTTCCCAAGGAAGAAGGACCAAAAGCATACCAAGGCATGACATACTTTTTATTGGATCAAGCAATTATACAATACCAAACCTCCGCTATTGCAAGAGCAGAACGGAGCAGGAGTGGGAGCAAGGCATTCTTCCTTTTCCACTACAGTTTCCTTTCCACTCCAAAAACCTACGTTGCACTGTAGAAATGCTGCCCAGAGCTGATATTTGAGTTTTTCAAGGCACTGGGGTGGGGTATTAAATATGTTTCATCATACAAAGCTCAGTTGAACTTTTGAGTCATACACATCGAGAGAGAAATTAATAAGTTTTGCTTTGGGGCTACATGTGAAAAATGGAAATTGAGAGTTTAATCCAGAGTCAGTCAACTAGATTATAAACATCTTGCTAGAAAGATAAGATTTCACGCAGGAGAGAAAAGACTGTAGAAAGTGTCATCCCAAAGTTGCAAATCAGGAAAGACAGAATATTGGTTTTGCTCATTTACACTTAATGACTTTTTTGTGTTCTTCTACTTGCAGCAACTCGGCAATGTAAGTACAGATCTTCATTTTTTCAAATCAGTTGAATTTATTAAATGCAGACTGGCTGCAAATGTTTCTTTCAATACTGTATATTGGTAACAATGTGGTAATCAAAGATAAAACAAGCCTATAATTAACCATTAACCCTGATTTTTTATTAATTACTCTTTGCTCTAGATTGAATTTAGCATAATCAAACAGTCATTGATTCATCAATCAAAAATGAAAAATTGCTATGAATATGAGAACCAGTCTTATTTTGAAGCAAGCCATTAAATAATTATTGTCTGCAGTCACTTTCCTTGGCTTTTCCAATTATATGTCATCATAACCCATATTGATTTTGGGTGGTTCTACACAGTAAGGATCTCTTCACATGGTCCAAATTTTGGAGGCAGCAACAGAGTTTTTAAAGTTCAGTAATGGAGCCCAATGGCTCCCATCACACCCCAGAAAAGGGCTGTGGCTGAATTAGTGCAAACACCCTGCCGCTGCTGCAAAATTGCCGGTGGTGGTCAACAGGTAGCTCTATGTCTTTCCATTAGAAAAGATAGGTTGAGCTGCCTTAAGCAGGCTTCTTCCATATGATGAGGTGGGGGGGGGAGCCACCACAGAGTGGGACGTGGGGCAACAGGTCCCCAATGTCCCCTGTGCTTGCACCACCAGGACATGGCGAGACAGCTCGATTCCAGCACTGCATGTGACAAGGTGGTAAAAATGTGGCACTGAACTGCCATGAAACATGGTCTGGGGCGGCATTGTGGCCAGACAGTGATGCTGTTAGAATCATAGAATCATAGAGTTGAAAGAGACCTCATGGGCCATCCAGTCCAACTCCTTGCCAAGAAGCAGGAAAATCACATTCAAAGCAACCCTGCCTGGCAGATGGCCATCCAGCCTTTGTTTAAAAGCGTCCAAAGAAGGATTCTCCACCACACTCTGGGGCAGAGAGTTCCACTGCTGAACACTCTCACAGTCAGGAAATTCTTCCTAATGTGCAGATGGAATCTCCTTTCTTGTAGTTTGAAGCCATCGTTCCGCGTCCTAGTCTCCAGGGCAGCAGAAAACAAGCTTGCTCTCTCCTCCCTATGACTTCCTCTCACATATTTACTCACTCTACAGTGGGATACTGCCCCCTCCTCCTCTCATGAAACAAATATTTAAAATTAAGATGAAAATGCAGCACTTTTAAGATTGGCAGAGTATATCAGCACTTCATTATTACTTTAGCATCATGACTTTTCTTTCTTTCTATACAACAGCAGTGTACAGTAATGATTTTTCTTTCATTCTCTACAGCAGTTCAACCAACATATAGTAGACCACCTCCCATCCATAGCTATACCAGTGGTGAGTTTTGTTTGAAGTTATTGTCATTGGAGGGCAAGGGTCTGTGCTCAAAAGGTTTAAGCCCTATAGCCTGAATTCCATATCTCAGCCAAGTGTATCATACATGACAGATACATATCTCACTACAGATTGCGGAAATCATTGTTTGGAAATGTAGGACTTTGCTAGGAGGCTCATGCTTTGCCTCTTTCCCTCTCACATGAAAGTTTCCTGTTTATCTATTTATTTATTTCGAGCATGTGTATCCCATCCTTCTCACCCCCGAAGAGAGACTCAGGGCAGCTTTCAACAGGCAGTTTCCTACATCTTTTCCTGCTTTTCTGACAGTAGGCACTGCTTCCAAGCAAAGCAAAATTCCATTAAGTAACCATGCTTTCATGTTTTGATGTAGATTCATATCCATAATCAACATGTTAATGTGTCTTTGTAAACTGTGGTTAGAAAGATCCAGGACATTAAATGGACACATTACTTACTTCTCTGCCCTCCAGTGCCCCTCTAGCCCCATGTCCCTATTCAAGGGGGTGGGGGTGGGGGATCGGACGGTAAGGCTCCTCCCATTGAAAGACATAGCTTTCTCTCCATAGTATTACCAGTGAAGCATCTCAGTTACATGTTCCTTAATAATGTGCTTTCTTTATAATTCTGTAATGCATGGTGGTGACCTGTCCTCCAGATGCTAAGTACAGCCTCCCATCATCCCTCATCTTGAGCTAGGTCTTAGGGGAAATGGAGACTAATAAATAAAGTAGGAAGTGACCAATGTGATTCAAGCCAATATCTGAAGGGCCTCAGAGACCTCAGCTTCACTGCAAGAATACAACAGCAGTGGCTACAATTAGAGGCAAGAATTTGCAGGCAACCTTTCGAAATGTAGAATCAAGGGTGTAACTATCTACACCATAGATTTAATTGTTTATTGTCTGATTCAATGCTATAGCATCATGGATATAGTACCTTTACAAGGCATTTAGCCTTCTCTGCCAAAGACTCCTTGTGCCTCACCAAACTACAATTCCTGGATTCCACAGTGTTGAGCCAGGGCAGTTAAAGTGGTGTCAAATGGTGTCAATTCTAGAGGGTGGATGCACCACCAGTAAAGGGGGAAACAGCACAATAATATAACAGTTAGCAGAGAACTTTGAACAAGGAACAGAATGATCTAAACATAAATCTGTATTTTCAGTTGATGGAGACCCACACTTCATTATAGATGTCCCCCTTAAAGAAGATGCTCTTTGCTTTAACATCAATGAGAATCCAGACAAAGTATTAAACCTCATTAGAGACCCAGCTACAGGTAAGCTGAATACAGACCCACCTTCCCATTTCATTTGCCCTAGAATTACATGATGGAATTAAGCATGGGACTTAACATCTTCATAAGTAGACCTACAGATTTTCGAAATGGCATTGAGAAGGTTCACAACAGAGTAATTAATGTCTGGGCACAATGCGCCTCCAGTTCAAGCTATGCATACCAATGCATGTCAGAGACAACCAGTGTGCATTCAAACTCTCTTGTTAGTGTCCAGATGCACAATTTCACAAATTACTAAAAGGATTTCATTGTATTTCCACAATGTAGCTACAGATTCATAAAGTTGTGAAGCATTAACCATGGTAACTTCAGCTCATGTCATTTCTCTGTTATCGTCATAACTTTATTTATGCTTATGTCGTTTGTTTTCTATAATATATTTTAATTATGCTTCCTTCTTCCCACCTCACAATGTCCCATTCCACTAGGTATTATTGTCAATGGCCAACTTATTGGAGATAAACAGAGCAATAATGACGCCAGTCCACACAATACTTACATTGGAAGACTTGGGATTCTAAACACTCAATTGAACATGACACTTGAAGTCACTCCTGAGAAAATTACTCTTCAAATTGGCAGAAAGCCAATAAATTTTACATGGTTTGATGAAGTCACCCTACGACATCCAAAGTAATGTTTGCACCAACATTTTGTATATATATTTAAATTATTTCGGGCACTTAAAACCATTGTACTCACTTGTGCATACTCTATTTTCTAACCAACTAGTTTGACTTTGAAAATCATTCGGAAAAAAAGTTTGGAAATTTCAATGGGAGATGGAGTGAAATTTGAAGTCGTTTTGCATCAAGTCTGGAGGAAACATGCAACATATGGAGATTTTCTGGGGTTCTATATAATAGACAGTCACAAGTTGTCTGAACATACCCATGGCTTATTAGGTATGAATTCACTAAAGTTTGATTAATATGTTTATATATGTGTGTGCAAGCCAAAGGAAGCTTTTGGTGAAACATTACTTTTTTGCAAATCTTCCAACAAAGTACTGAAGATACAAATGCTGTGAACGGATGATTCTTGGATATTTGCTTTCTGGACTTTCAACTGGGATATTGGCATTAGACAAGATAGGTCTTTGTTTTGACGGGGGGGGGGGGGGCTAACATAATTCAGCAAACACACCACTGTTTACTTTCCTTAACTTACAGCCCAATTCCTCCTCTGTCTTTTACGTAATATACCAATATATCTGTGGTCACATAAACATTTATTGGGCAAAAGGAGGCCATGAGTGGAAAAGGTTTAAGAAACACTGATGGATTTTGATATTCCAACCCAATGCAGCTTCTGGGTTTATTAATTGAAATCACACAATTTCACTTTCTGTTGACTGTTTTGCTTTTATATAGGCCAGATCACATGGTGATTGACCAGGCCATCAGATAATAATAATAATCATCATCATCATCATCATCATCATCATCATCATCATCTTTATTTATACCCCTCTCCCTCTCCCCGAAGGGACTCGGGGTGGCTTACAATCATTCCGTCTGAATGGTCCAGTTCAGAATTTACAACCTTGGAGAGATCTAGGCAGCTTCTGCTTTGGTCATTTTCACCCATTTTTGCTCATCTTTTAAAGAAAATCCAGATTACTATCAAATAATTTCACTCTAGCATTTTCCCTGTTCTTCTCCTGTCTTTCCGTTCTCACTCAGTTTGATGATGATTTTAGAAAAGTTAAAATACAAATGCAGAATCAATCCATGCTATAGTATACAGCATGAATTAGAAAAGTGCTAATGAGACTCCTTATTACACTGATAATTTAATTTATTCTTTACTAAAGTTTCCAGATCAGGGATCTTGTAATGTTATTCCTTAATGGATCTTGGAGCAGACAAGATACTGCAAACTTTCCAAACCCCAACTTTCAGTTGCAGTCATGGCTGTGGCTGAAAGTTGAGATTTGAAACGTGAAAGGGGACAGATACTCTTATCCTGTGGGATGCAGCTTTATGATACTAGTCTTGCCCCAAGATCTGTTAAGGATTAAATTTGCAGGGGTTCTGTATCAGATTTAATGTGGCAACTCTGTTGCTGATCCTTGATGACTTAGGGCTCATCTACACAGGCCTAATAACTTGTATTCATTGTGCATTCAGTCCTCACTGTCTTCACAATGTTCCTCTATTTCCGGTAGGTATTACAAGAGAAACCAGGTTAATCCGTGTTAGCCCCAAATTTAGAAACATGGGGGATTCTCTGAGATGAGAACTTAGTTAATTCTTTTTCACTCATGTGGTCACAAATCTCTGAATAAGTATTTCAACCACCAATTTCTGTCTCTTGGTTGGAAAGTAGGAAAGACTTTTTAGCATTCAGAGCAATTGCTCATGTTTAATTATATTAGAATGAACAGGAAACAACTTCATTACAGGTCAGTCATATTTAAGAAGCAGAGGTTGCTGTATAAGAAAGAAGCAAGGATGATACTACTATTCAAGGGCCTACAAATAGGAAAAAGGAAAAGATTTACAAAATGAACTTTTGAGGATACACATGTTTACTGGTTTTTATTATTATGATTAGAGTATTTTAAATAAACTACTAATATATTAGGATTTGGCCCATAGAGAAGAGTTTTCTGGGACTGGAAAATTTAATATTCTTCTATACATATTCAGCATTTTAGTGTTAGTCTTATCTGACTACTGAAGAGGAATACCTCAGCAGGGACCAAAGGGTTTCTGTGCATACATAAAGCAAGATAATAGTAGTAATTGATGCTCTTTTTCCCAAACCTTTAGGGCAGTTTTTCCATCCAATTGACTTTAGCATACTTGAAGTACATCCTGGGTCTGATCCTAAGAAACCAGATGCCACCATGATTGTGAAAAATAATCAGTTGACAGTGACTAGGTAAGCAGTAAATCAAATATTTAGGAGACAGTATTCCTACTTCAGCATCTTGAACCCGTAGAAGGATGAATTGACACAAAGAGTTATATTTCCCATAGCTACAAATGTTTCAGCATTTCCCCCCAAAGAACTGTTGTATGTTAAAATGGTGCAATGGTGAGATTTGTGTTGGGTCAATCCAGCGTGATGGTTCCTTTACCTGCCCACTGCCAGATTCTACAGATAGAAAGAGCCTGGGCGTCTTTTACATGGAATCACTTTCAGGCACAGATCACCTTGTTTGGACTCACCAGAAGCAAACATATTAGAAGGAGAGGCACATAGCTTTGCCCTCTTCCAGTGTCCTTCTCCTTTTGTGCATGTACTTGCAATGTCACTCTTCTGGTTTTCAAGTAGAGACTCTCAAGTCACTTCTGAATACTAATATCTTAGTTTCAAAACTGTGTGGAGCACCTCCTCATATGCAGAAGGCTTTGTGCTTTACTCTCAAAATGAAGAAAGAAACATGGGAGTGGAGAGGTATTGCAATACTCCCCACCCGCCCCCTTTGTGTTTATTTCTGTTAATTGAGAATGCCCAGATTCCATTGTTTTACCTGCATGAAATCTGAATATTGCATTTCAATGTTTTTTCTTCCTTTTTAGGGGATGGCAAAAAGATTACACAGAGGATCCAAAGCATGGCAGGAATGTCCCTTGTTGGTTTATTCACAATAATGGAGAAGGTCTAATTGATGGCACACATACCGATTATGTTGTTTCAAGTCTGTTTTAGCAGAAAGTGGTGTTTCTCTCAACTACTGAGACAGGATGCAGCTATTCTATATAACCAAAATATACAACGCTAGTGTATTAGGTGCCCACAAAATGGCATGTAGATTGAATTTGCATTTTATAAAACCCTGGGCTGTTATTGCTTCATATTTTCCACATTAATTACAGTTGCTTCTTTTGGGACATTGACTTTTCTTCTCTGTGACTAAACAGATCCACTGTTTCTGCAATCTAAATGTAGTAGGCTATTAAAAGATTCAAATAAAGTTAAGGGGTCAGACTCCATCATCTTGTGTAATCATTTCAACTACTCTTCAAGGTTTTTCAGTGAGCGTCTGTGTCCTACAGCATCAAGTGTCATAATATGTGCATGCAGTCCTCTGATATTATCCTACATTGACTGCATCCACACACCCCGATGCAATGTGAGTTGTGTAGTGTCCTGAGACCCATCTTTGATAGAAAGGTGGGACATAAATCAATATGAGCCTACACTGCCATTGTAATGAAGATTGAACTGCATTATGTGGTCATATAAGATCCAGTTGTCCACACCTCTGACACTCTGAGATGACACCAGAAATAGTGGGACATGGAACTCCAGGAAGTTCTGGAGTAAATACTATTTTCTGCTAAACTTGGAAAACATCTGGATACAGTGGTGTGCTGCATATTCAGATAATGCATCATGTGGACTTACTGTAGCAACTGAGCAGTCAATCCACATAATTTTGGCCATGTAGACACTGTCACTCATGGTCACTCTCCTCACTGCTCCTGCATAACCTGGAGAAAACATTTGGAAACTTGCACTTCTTCTTTTACTTAATTGCTGTGTGATGTTATCCACATCAGCAATTTGGTGTTAGTTATTAACTATAATTAGTTTCAAATGTGCCATCCTTAGAACATGGCTTTTGAGAAACTGACTTGTTAATGTTAACCAAAATTATAGGTCTGGTAGGCACAGTAATATAAATTAGGTAACTAAAACTGGAAGTGTACGCTTACAGATTCTTTCTTCTGGTCGTGCTGGAAGTGGGAGAGTATATAAACCAAGGATTTATTCTGGTTCTTTTTATTTGAATGGACATTGACCAATGATTACTCATCAACCTGGAAGCTGATCCAAAAGTAGGCTTCTAGTCATTTCTAGGGAAAATACACATACATCTAGGGTTTAAAAAATCCTCATTATATATCAAGATAGACTCATACATAATGCAGATTGAGGCAGAATGTATGCTGCTATATTATCCAGATTATCAAAGCAGATAATCCAGAAGTCCATGAATGCTGGTGATAATTGTGATTTCCATTCAGTTCTCGATATTATTGTCAATGTAAAACCAAACCAAAGGTTTTCAACTATTACTGAATTTGAAGTTAAACTACATTAGAATTCAAGGAAAGTAAGGTTTCATTTTTCTGAATCCTGTGTATACCAAGTTACTACATAACAGTGGCAGTGAATCCCAGCGTGGCCTCGCTCCTTCCCACTCAGTGCTCAACAACCATTGTGATCAATAGGGATCTATTGCTCTGTAGCTCAGAAAAGAGATAATATTGCTCAGGACATAGTTAAATATTTCCTTGCAGTCTCTGTTGCCATAAGGTTTCTTTCATAATCCCCATCTTGCAGCACAGATTGGTTGTATTTGAAGAAGGTAGCAATGTTAGCTCCCTTCTACACTGCTATATAGAAGCAGTGTAGAAGGGGGCTAACATTGTGCCTTCCAGTGTGCCTTCCCAGAATAAGGAACCCTAAACAACATGTTCCTAATAGCACTTTACTAATGATCTAGGATTGTCTGCTCATTCCATCTCTCTCCAAATACCTATCCTAGTTATATGTCACCTTGTCATGCCCAGTATTTTAAAATTTTTAATTATTACATTTGGCCCTGCCATAGGTTTTTAACGCATCATGGTGTTATTATTACTGTTTATTGCTTTGTTTATGAGTTTATTTATTGTCTGTATTGCTGTGTTGTTTTTATTGATGTAATTGGGCTTGGCCTCTTGTAAGCCGCTCTGAGACCTCTGGGAGATGGTAGCGGGGTATAAATAAAGGTTTATTATTATTATTATTATTATTATTATTATTATTATTATTATTATAATTAAACAGATGCAGTCTCAGACTGGGTAAGAAGGCAGGGTATCAACAAACAGATAGATGGAATGAGGAATGAAAGGTTCTATTCTTTCACTTACACATTTTGTAAAATACTATTTCTACTAGCACTCCTTTTTCCCAGTTGTCCAATACTTCCTTGTGCTTTCCATTGCTGGTTTGTGATGTCTAAATATAGGGTACAGGTGTCCACAGTTTATTCGACAGTTTAGGGAACAGAACATTGTAGAAATCACTGAAATGGAGCTCAGTGTCATTTTTAAGCTTGTAAATGCATCACGGATGCTGAAAAAAACATTGAAAATGCTTCTGCACTTGGTCACATAAACTCAGAGATTGTGGAAACATGATGAAATTGGTTAAAAGAGAGGGCCACGTTTATATATGGATTCTGAATATATGGATTGTGATCCTTTTTTTAAAAGGGCAGAAAGATCACATTGTCAAAACGCCTGTCAAACAACTGTATCTTTAACCTCAAACTATGCTCTTAAGTGATCCCTAGACTGTCACAAGCACTTCACAATTCTTTTAGGTACTCAAAACTTTTTTAAAAAATATTTCATTTGGCTCAGAGCCCTTGCCTTGATCTCTTTGTCAAGACTACAGTTCAATAAATCACCAGTATACTGACCCATACTGAGGTAAACAGAGACCAGGTTTATCTTGGTCCACCCCTATGCCAGCTATAGCCTGAGATATAAACCTTATAAGAGCCATACCCTGCAATATTTCACAGAAGAAAGCTGAGACAGGTGGGGCCAATCAAGCTCAATTTGTTGCGAATTAAGAAAAAGTTATTCATTAGGAAAAATAGACAAGATAGGAAAAGATGTAGAAGTTTGCTTTCACCTGAGCTTCCTTTCTGTCCTCTGAGGGCAGTTCCACACAGGCCTTTAACCCGGGAGGAATCAGGTTCTTAAATGTGATTAAAGTTTAAAGTCCACACACCTCCCCTAACATCTACCCTTTCCTTGGGGTGGTGATGTTGTCCAGATGCCTTGTTGGACTTTCTGGCAGGACACCCAGACACAAAACAATCCCCCCTCCCCAGAAAAGCCTTAAAACTCAAAAATAACTTACCCGGCTGTCATTCCCCCTTCTCTGGAGCTTTCCTGGTGTATAGAAATGATGCGCCAGGAGAAGGGGAGCCAGGAGAGATTTTCCTCCTCCCTCCTTTCTCCTGGTGCATCATTTCTATGCACCAAGAGAGCTCCAGAGAAGGGGGAATGACAGCCGGGTAAGTTATTTTTGAGTTTTAAGGCTTTTTAAAGGGGATTTGGGAGGGGGTGGGAGCCGACTTGGGTTTTTCGGGTTCCAGGAGCCCAGAAAACCCAAGACACCTGTGTGTATTGGAACCAGCAGACATGTGACATGATCCCCGGGCCCAATCCACACAGAGCATGCAGCTAGAAAGACACAGGTCTTCCGAAAAACCTGGGTCTTTCCGGTGTCAAAATAATTCGGGACAAAGCAGGGTTTTCTTGCTTTGTCCTGAATTAATTCATTCGATTGGACGCCCCAGGGAAAAACATAGGCACTTGCACGTTTTAGAAGTTGTCTGGATGCGCCCTGAGAATGTCAACTTTTGCACTTTGAACTCTCACTGCAAGAATGGACATAAATTGAGGATGAAGGGGAAATTGGAGGAAGACAATAGAACAGAGACATTTTAAAAGCAGTTAGATAAATGAGATGACAGTGGAATACACACACACACACACACACACACACACACATCCTATATACTCATCTGTATGTCTAAAAAAATTAGTCAAAAATTGACCCAAAAATCTGGGTTAGACTTTCTAAAGGTCATTGTAATTGGTATGCCTTCCTTCGGTCTTACCAAAAATAAACTAGAGTGGCAAAAAGTGAATGTTTAGTCCAACCTCTCTTTGCTGTGGCACTGCTTTTGGCCTTTTTGAATTCATGGGTGGGAAAATGGCAATGGCAGCCACAGACTTATCTTGACTTATCCATGGGTCATATCGACATCCATTATTATGACTCCAAAACCTGCTGGTGACATGTACATGACCACCAAACGCAGCGCCCAAACATGACCCAAGGAACATGAAAGGCACTGCAGACTACTTCAACCAGAGAAGTCAGCCATAGCAGAGCACCTGATGAACCAACCTGGACACAGCATATTATTTGAGAACACAGAAATGCTGGACCACTCCAACAACCTCCATGTCAGACTACACAGAGAAGCCATTGAAATCCACAAGCATGTGGACAATTTCAACAGAAAGGAAGAGACCATGAAAATGAACAAAATCTTGCTACCATATTAAAATACTCTAAAATTAGAACAGCACAACAACAGAGAGGAAACAAAGAACATCCAATCATCTCTCAACAAAAAATTGCTCCAGGCACTGCCAGGCAATCAAATGTTAAGGTGATCAGTTGTCACATTCACACCTAGCTCCAACAGACAAGAGTCCTTTGTCCCACCCTGGTCATTCCATAGATATATAAACCCCTTTTTCTAGTTCCAACAGACCTCACTACCTCTGAGGATACTTGCCATAAATGCAGGCGAAACGTCAGGAGAAAATGCCTTTAGAACATGGCCATATAGCCCGAAAAAACTTATAACAACCCAATGATTCCGGCCATGAAAGCCTTCGACAATATTTGAGGGATGTTTGCCGGGAAGTGTTCACCGCTCTTCATCTGTGTAGTTTTGATCTGCTCAGAAAAAAAATCTCACAATATACCTAAACTTTCACCTTGTTACATAAAAATGTCCATTTGAGTTTGGTCTTTAGGCCCAAATATGTTATGCAGAACTATTAAAAGAAATATGTTCCACTGTACTTGTTGCCTCTTACTTTCAGGTGAACCTATTTAATGTAAAATATGTCACAATAATAGCATTTCAAGAGTTATTAGATCTTCAGCCGTTAGTGAAAGATAAGCTTTAAGGCCTTTGGTGAAAGGCGCTAAACATGAGTGACACATTGGTACAGAAATATCAGGCTAATTTTTGAAATTAAATTCAAGCAGAGCACACATTTATTGTTTTGCAATAAAATGAGGCAAACAGCTGTTTACCACAAGGAAGAAGTCATCATGACAGGTCATAAAAGTATTCCAGCCGCTGACAGGAACATATAATACACATCATTCTAGGTTATAGCTGGTATTCTGAACATATTGCCTTAGGAAAAATATTTTCATAATCAGAAAGACTATTCATCCAAATATGCTGGGAACAATATAGTCTGTGTGCACCCCATCAATAAGGCCTTCTCCATTGTTATGAATGAACCAGCAAGGCACATTGAGGCCATGGCGAGTATCTTCTGTGTAATCCTTCTGCCAGCCCCTGAAAGGGAAGAACCAAGCAGTGAACTTTGAGCATTCATTTTGTTCAGGCACATTAATGTGAATTTAAAATTCTGATTCTGCTCACCTTGTTACACTCAGCTGGTTATTTTTCACAACCATTGTGGCATCTGGTTTTTCTGGATCAGACCCAGGATGGACTTCAAGGATATCAAAATCAATGGGGCGGAAAAATTGACCTTAAATGCAAATAACAACAAGAGCAATTATTACTAAACATTTTCTAATAACTGATACAATCTCATTTGCTTATTTCATTATGACTGAATTGTTTATGTCTTATTCAAAGAGCAGAAAGAGACCTATCATTAATTACTATCTTGCTAACTTAGTCTCTGATTATGGTCAATTGTATATTTGGTCAGGAGCAAAATTAAATGCTGGGGAAGTAGTGGCATGCAAATGTGTAGGTGCCATTTTGGGGGGGGGGGGGCTGGAGCAGAATTCCTGGCCCTTGAGTGTTCTAACTGGAGGTCAGCTGTTACCAACAATGCTGTGGGATTCAAAGAGGCACAAATGGAGGGCGAAAGGGAGAAATGTATCAAGAGGAAGGTGCGTCAAGCCAAGAGTCGCCTACAGACACATCACCAAGACCCTACACTTGGAAGGCAATCATACTCAGCCTATGATGGTGATGATGGTGATGATGATGATGAACCAAGTCCAGCCAATTTTCCATCATTGGACCTGCCTCCCCTCTTTCTACTGTCCCCATTACTTGACTTGACAGCTGTATGCAAAGTTTTTGGATGGGTTACAAAGGGATACAGATTGAGTAACACTTTTACCCTAAAAAAGACATACAAAGGACCAATTAAGTCACATGGAAATAAGCATGTGAGCTACTTTAATCTAGATTCTGTTCACCAGGAAGAAAACCATGTCATTGAAGTAGAGTTGGAAATACACTACTTGACAAGCAGACGATTAGAAATGTATGCTTGGTAGAAATGGGGATGGACTAGATGATCCCTTGGGGGGGGGTTAATCGTGTCAAAAGCAATTTGAGAACATACTGCAAGTCGCTTCTGGTGTGAGATAATTGACATCTACAGTGACATTGCCCAGGGCATGCCCGGATGTGTTACCATCCTGCTGGGTAGCTTCTCTCATGTCCCCACAAGCTAGAGCTGACAGATGGGAGTACACCCCATCTCACAGATCTGAACTGCCAACCTTCAGGTCAGCAACCCAATCTTCAGGTCAGCAGTTCAGCTGGCACAAGGGTTTAACACACTGTACCACCACAGCTCCCTTGGGATGACTCTTGGGAATACCTCAGAGACTAGAAAGAATATATACATAGGGAGAGAGAAGACAATTTCTGGAATGTGAGCCAAGGTCAGAAACAAAAGAGGCTCTGGTTGAGTTTAAGATAGAGAGAGACACAGAAGGTAAAGACATTCATTTGCTTTCCAAACCAGTAAAACAGAAATGTGTGCAGAAGGTTAGAAAGAAAAGAAAAACCAATATCTCTGTGAAAAAAGCTTCATTTTTACATATTCACACCTGATTTAATGTAACGATTTTAGTATGACGACTGACCATTATAGTTATTGATTGTAATTGCTGTTTTAACGTTTTACTGTAATATGTATTATGATGTTTTATTGACTGTATGTGATATTATGGTTGGAAACCGGTCTGAGTCCCTCAAGAGAAATAAAATAAATAAATAAATAAACTTTAAATAAATAAATAAACTTTTTTGAAATCTGGAAATTTCATTAATGTAGTATTGTCTGGAAAACAATGTGGGAAACTTCCAAGGGGAACATATGAGACTCAAGTATTTGTGACTTATTTTTTCCTTTCGTACCTGTCCTTTAATATAAGGAACCATGCTTTACAAAGATGCAGTGTTGTCTTTAAAAATAAGTTGTTACCTAGCAGTCCATGAGTTTGTTGAGACAGTCTGTGACTATCCAGTGTGTAAAATCCTAGGAAATCTCGGTGCAGGGGATGTTTCTTCCATACTTGATGCAAAATAACAACAAATTTTGCTCCGTTGTCCATTGAAACCTCCATGCTCTTTTTTCGCTTGATGACTAGAGTCAGACTAGGTGGGGAGAGAAAAAAGAAGCTGAACAGAGCAGAGAAATCTTTATCCTGAATAATAAAAAGCCTATAATTGAGGAAAAGGTAAGCACTCTGGCGTAAGAATTTACCTGGGTTCTTGCAAGGTAACATCATCAAGCCAACTGAATGCTGTCCGTTTTACACCATCATGAAGAATAATTTCCTTGGTGGAGATCTCAATTTTTATATGCCGGTGGATATTTGCAATCCCAAGTTTTCCAAAATATGTATTCTGTTCTCTTACATCATTGTTGCTTTTCTTCTCACCAATGAGCTCTCCATTGACTACAATACCTAAAGGCAAATGATGTTAAGTAATGTTATATAAGACTCTATACAAGCCTTGGAGATAACAAAAAATCTGCAGTTTAATTTGGTTGCACTGGAATTCATTTAAAATGTTTAAAAAATATTCCACAGCTTTATAACAAATTTGACTTCTATTTTTAATCATTCTCTAAATAAATCGGGTTTTATTAGGCAAGGAATACTCAGAGGTGATTTTTCCAGTTCCTTGCTCCAAAATATAGCCTATAGCACCTGGTACCCAGGGTGCCATTAGACTGCAGAATTAATGCAGTTTGATACAACCTTAATTGCAGCGGCACAATGCTATGGAATCATGGGAGTTCTAGTTTTACAAGATTTTTAGCGTCCTCTCAAAGAGTGCTGGTGCCTCACCAAACTACAGCTGTCAGGATTCCACACCACTGAGCCATGGCATTTAAAGTGATGTCGAAATGCATTCATTCTTCAATGTAGATGCAGCCTCAGCGGCAGTCTCCCATTCAAGTCCTAACTTAGGTTACTTCCAAGATCAGACAGATTTGGTGCCTTTAAGCGTTCAGGCCCAGTGCTTTCACTATACTTCAGAATATATGCCTGACTATACTCTGTAACTCACAGTTATGCCTTAGAATTACAATTTCTTGAAGATAAAAAAATAGCCTCTTGATCAAAGAGAAAATACTCACCTGTAACTGGGTCGTTTATTAAACTTAGGACCGCCCCTGGGTCTTCATTAATATTGAAACAAAGGGCATCTTCTTTTTGAGGCACTGCAATAATGAAGTGTGGGTCTCCATCAACTGCAAAAAAAAAAAAAAGATGAACATCAATATACTGCTGCCATCTTTTATATACTGTATTTTCTGGCATATAAGACTACGTTTTAACCCAGGAAAATCTTCTCAAAAGTCGGTGGTTGTCTTATACAATGGATGTTGTCTTAAAGGGCAGGTGCTGAAACTTCCAAGCCAGACTGGAGAATCTGTGGTCGCTGCATATAGTGGGGGGAGCTCAAAAATGGTCACGGCTGCATCCCTGCCATATGCAGCGACTGTATGAAAGCAGCAAGGGCAGCCCTGTACAAGTGCGATAGAAGAAAATCCAATAATCAGGATTCGTGGAAAGAAGTGACTTAACTTGGTCCCAATGACGAGGTGAGGGGGCGCCTCACCAGGAAGGTGTAAGTGAAGAGCAGAGCAAGCTGCAGGCGTCCAGGACGGCTGGGGTATGGAAAAAAGAGATAGAGTGGCACTGTGCCCAGAAAAACACGCCTCTTTCACGCATCGCTGCACCCTTGAATCCTATTACTGTACATCCTTCTCTTCCTCTCAGATCTTGCTCCTAAGGACTGCAATGAAGCAACGCAGGCACACATGTGTGAGATCTGAGAGGCAAAGATGGAGGTACGAAAATAGGAAAATTACCAAGCTGAAATCAAATTGGATGCTTTTTTACATTTTTATTTGGTGTGTGTTGGTAGAGGGGTGGTCTTATATCCCAAACTCTATTTTTTAAAAGTTGGGAGTTATCTTATACGCCGGAAAATACAGTAGATGTTTTTTATCTTACTAAACCATAATTTATCCTTATTCCAGTGAGTTCATTCAGAACTACAAGACTGCCACAGTCTCCTCCTCCTGAACAGGTTACCACCTCATGTGTGTGTGAAGTGGAGGAATTACAATATATTTTCCATTTTCTTATTTCCTATTTTTCTCAAGCCATTTTACTTGCCTTGGATCCCATCCAAGGAGAATGATGGGGTTTGAAATAAATAAATAAATAAATAAATAAATAAGACCCATGCTACAAATTACAAATTACCAGTGGTCTTGTGGAAGAGATAAATAACAACTACACATGGACCTACTGCAGATGTGCTGGTCATACTTGCGAGGTTTCTGGGCTATATGGCCATGTAGTAGCAGCATTTTCTTCTGACATTTCATCTGCAGCTGTGACTGGCATCTTCAGAGGATCCTCTGAAGATACAAGCCACTGATGCAGGTGAAACATCTGGAGAAACATCGTACAGCCTGGAAACCACAAAACACCCCAGTGATTCCAGCCTTGAAAGCTTTTTCTTAATTTGGAAATAATAAAAAAGATTCAAGAATGTTATGTCACCAAAAAGACCAGCACAAAATTCTATTGATAAGCTCTTCAGAACCTGTAGATACTCATAGTAAGTTTGATTTAAATTAATCACGCTCTTATGAAATGTTCTAGGTTACTTTAGTTTTTCCTCTGCAATTTGAAAAAACTTACCACTGGAATAATGATATGGAGTTGATGGAGCGCTGTACTGGGTATACCTGCCTGCTGTTTGAAAAAGAAAGGAACTCTAGTTAAACTTAAATGAAAATTGACTACAAGGAACCTACCTACACACTCTGCCCTGTGCTAAGCCATTACCCATTTCTTACATTATGATTTAGTACTTTTTGTATTATGTGCAGATGTAACCTGGTAATACAGGAGTTCTCATCTGCATGGGCATGAGGGACCGGATTAAAATGAATCTTCGGATCCAACCAACCAACTAATATAATGCTGACATTTTAAAATGCAACTTTCCCAAATAAAGAAAGCAACAATTGCAATTTATTTTAAATATATACATCGATGTACAATGTAGTTTTATAATTCCTGAGATGATATCCTCCTCCTCCTTTTAGATGATACAGCTAAAAAGACATATCGTACCAAAATTAAAACAGAATTCAACTATTAATGGAATTGAGAATGATTAAAGGTATGCCCACTGGGGAAAACACAATGGATAAACAATAAAGCACATTATTAATGGTTGTTTCCATATGAGCAATCTGCTTTTAAAGGTTTTTATTTGACTGTGGAAATATAGCAAGGAGCGGGCCAGCCAAAAGAGCTCTAGAGCATATGAGCAGCCAGGCTCTTTAAAAAGCTAAAATATGTGAATTTCTCTTGTGTTAGCTTTACCAATAAACAGTTTATTTACATATTCCCATGTTATGTACATGCAGATCTTTTGCATGAGCTGCCAAATGTTGTTTTTAAATCTTTCATTAATCAAGTTCTAAAGTAAAAAATAAAAGGAATAAACCCAGCTTCAAAATAAACAGAACTGAACTTACCTTCAGCTGTTTTCAAGGAGGTTTAAGAAAATGAGAAGAAGATAGATTAGTCTTTCTACCGATTTATTGTAACATTTTACACCAAAATTTCCTTAGCAAGCATAAAATTGAGAGTACATATCAGCTGATTGACAAGTATCTCTAGGCAATCAAGTTCAAGCAAACCTAGTTCAAGCAAAACAATCTTTCTCTTATAAATGCTCTTGACTTTGACCAGAGCGCTCATGTGAAGCTCCTCAAAGAAAGAACCATTCTTAATTTTCCTCTCTGTCCAGGGTATGTGGTGATGGTAAATTAGTACGAGCAAGTGTCAGTGTCCATCTCTCCCCAGAAAATGTTCATCTTCTCTTCCACTTATCCAAATATTTTGTTTCATTTTGCAGATTCTGAATTTCTAGTGAAGGTTCTTGTTACAATGAATTGGAAAGAGAAGTTACTATTTGTGACGAGGCCACTAATTTGTAAAGAGTTTGTAAAGGAGCCACCACTCTGTAAGGGTTTATTAATTTGATAGCGTAGCTAATAGCTAGTGATATTGACTTGGTCTTTCTTTAATGTGTAGCATGACTTAACTTGGAAAGGAATTGTAACAGAGACAGGGCTTTAGGAAAAACAGTAACAAGTTTATTGAAATGTAGAAGAAGCGTGATGGTTTAAATGTTTCTTACTCTTAGAGGCACATATCTTCATAGGTTACATTTATAACATTTCTTAAGCAACTCTGGAAAGGACTCTTCCTTCCACTAAACAGGTTTCAAACTTATTTTTCTTCAAACTGTGTTTCTTTCCTTAATAGGTTACTTCAGTTACAAGCTTATTCTTTCTTTGTGATGTTTCTGTTGCAATAGAGATTCTCACTGGGTTTCTCTCACCATTTGTCTCATACACTAACTATTAATATAAATAAATCTACTCGACTTATTTAAACTACTCAGGCTAAAAGCCAAAACCTTCCTGATTCTCACTACTATAGAATCAGCCCTTCCCTGTAGTTTTTAACTACAAATTACCTTCCTGGTTCTCACCACACACTAGAACCAGCCTCTCCTGTAGTTCGCTGACTACAGACTAACTGTTTTTAAAATGGCTGCCCTGCCAAGTGGCAGTTGGCTCCACCCCTATTTCCATGGTAACCCAGCTCAACATGAGCTGAGCTGGCTACCATCCCCTTAGTTATGCAACTTTAAATACTTACCCTTTAAACATCTATCTATAATTATACATAACTGCAGGTCAAAAGATTTACACTTCACCACACTATTTCTCTGGTGTTCCTAGTAAGGTGGGATGGGGAATGGATGATAACAGCAATTGTAATGGAATTAGATATCAGTCTTAAGAATCTAAAGATTAAAGTTCTTATTCTTAATGACTTTAGGATTTCTGATAATCAGGAAGCAAATATAGTTAATTTTCCACTAAATGGAACTGAAGACCACCCCTAACCCTTCTGATGCCACTAATTCATCCCTCTAAGAACAGTACTGGGTATATTCCTCTTACTGTGTCTGAAAATGTGTAAGTGTGGTTTGCTAATCTTATTTTAGGAAACAGAGTAGTAACTTGAATCTCAAGACCTTAGGGAACTTTTGACCAGTACCAGTTTGCCATGTGTCGAAAGAGAGCTCGGAGGCCTCCTGTATCTGAGGTCTGGCAAGAAAAGCACAATGTTCTGTATTGATCTTACAGTGCAAATATTCTTAAACTAGCTATTGCTCCCAGGCAGATCTAAAGACTGTAAAAAAATACACATTTAAAACTGTCCTGTCATGTTCTCTTATCTTCTTGGTAGGATTATTCCAGAATCTCATGAGATCTCACAGGATGAAGAAGCACTTGTCTTGATCATTATACTTTGCAAGAGAACTATGAGGATGCTGCTGATAGCCCTAGGAAGCAGTGGCCATTTTAGGATACAGTCATGTTGGAAGAAATAAAGTGCCCCAAACAGTCCTTTTGACTTGGCCCAGACCTAACCAGGAACAAAGAATGGACCTAGAGTAATAGCTCAACAAACATCTCTCAATATTACTTGTAAGGAGGATGCATGAACTAGAACAGGACCTTAATAATAACACAGGAATATGGAACTCCACAACATCATCCATGAAACTGTCTAATTGATATATGTGGAAACATTTCTCTTGCTCTGCCCCCTGCTGGATCAGATTTGATCTGTAGGGCAGGAGTGTTAGTAATGGGGTATTTCTCCATAAAAAAGAGAAACCGCTAAAAGTAAAATGGCTTAATTATTTATGGAATAAAGTTTCTACCTTCTATGGGTTTGTCAGCAACTACCTCTGGTTCTTCATTATCTTCTGGCTTTGTGACTATCATGGATGTCAAAGGAGTCACAAACTTATATTTCAGAGACATCTCCAAGGCTTCAGCAGTGAGATTCCCCTTTTCATATCCTGTTGCTACAGACCTAAATAGAAGAATATTAGAGAACATTTAGATGTTGACATTTTAACAATAATTCTATTCACTGTCCCATTGTTATAAGACACAACTGCATATTACCAATGCAAAGTTATATTTTTGCTTCCTGGGCAGAAAATCAGAGCAAGAAGGAAAATAGCTGGCCACATACATCAGTCTGAAAAGAAGATATAAAGGGAGCTACACTAGAAGAACATTAAACTCTATTTGGTATCAGCTGCTCTCTGCTTGCTCTCAGCCAGAGGACTAAAGGCTTGTGTGTGAATAATATTGGAGAAAGAGGGTGAGGAGGAAGAAGGGGGGAAAGGAGGGTTACTACAGCCTATTGCTACAAGTTGATTCGAGAGCTATTTGACCAAATGTCAGAGTATATAAAATAAATGAGTATGCATTGTTTTAATTTGGAAAAGGTCTTTCATTACCGTTTCTCTAGAAGTTGCTGTATTGTGAGATAAGCCCAGAGTCTCTCAATATACTCTCCAAATATGTACTTTTGCTCCTCAAAAACTTTGGCGGTTTCTTCAACATCTGCTTGTTCAGTGAAAGTCAGATCGTTAAGTGCCTGGGAAGGAGAAATTCAATGTCATAAAATGCATTTAATGGCAAAACAATCTTTTAGCAATATACACATAGCTTTTAGGACTGGGCTATGTGTCCACTACTGTGGATTCTCCTGGGTTTTCATTTACATTTATAAGACTGATTCACTCTTACAAGACCCAGTATTCCTTAATTCCCAGCTATTATTTCATGTAATCTAAACAAGCTATGCTTAGATTTGTTCTTACATATATACTTGAGGTAAAAATATGCACTGCTTCTAATTTGCTTCTTAAAGTGGGATCCAGACAGGCCTTTATCCCAGAAGATTTTCCTGGGGGCCTATCTACACCCTGGGTGGGTGTCCACACATTCTCTTGGGACTAGTTTCTGATACAGAACATATGCCATTCAGTAGTAGCCATCTGCTCGACCTCAGAAAACCATATTTAATAAGCCTCAGCACTATATGAGGGTTTAGTGAAACCAGTCACTCTCACTGCAACGGTGTAGTAACGGTGAGGCCGCAGACCATATTTCAGTTCTTGCAGACCACTGGTGATCCAGGAACCACAGGCTAGGAACCAATGCACTAAATTTATTTATTTATTTTTATTTATTTATTTATTTATTTACTTCATTTGTTGACCGCCGCTCTCAGCCCTGGGGCGACTCGCGGCGGTGTACAACATATAAAAACAGTCTACAAAAACATACAATATATCAACAACCAAATTACACATTAATCTAAATCACACTAAAAAATCCGCGCCATCACAACATAGAGACATAGCCAATCTCATAATCCAAAGTCCGTTCCAGATGTCATTACCAAATTCGTGTGGGTCTCAATTAAATGCCTTCCCGAATAGCCAGGTCTTTAGGCTTTTACGGAAAGCCATGAGGGAGGGCGCCTGTCTGATGTCAGCAGGGAGGGCGTTCCACAGCCGGGGGGCCACCACTGAGAAGGCCCTCTCTCTCGTCCCCGCCAGACGTGCCTGTGAGGCAGGCGGGATCGAGAGAAGGGCCTCCCCAGATGATCTCAAGGCCCTCGTGGGCTCATAGGCCGAGATGCGGTCCGAAAGGTATTTTGGGCCGGAACCGTTTAGGGCTTTGTAGGATAACACCAGCACCTTAAATTGGGCCCGGTAGCAGATCGGCAGCCAGTGGAGCTGGAACAGCAAGGGCGTTGTGTGCTCCCTGCGTCCCGCTCCGGTTAGTAACATGGCTGCCGCGCGCTGGACTAGCTGAAGCTTCCGGGCCGTCTTCAAGGGCAGCCCCACGTAGAGAGCGTTGCAGTAGTCGAGGCGGGATGTGACCAGAGCGTGTACCACCGTGGCCAAGTCAGACTTCCCAAGATACGGGCGCAGCTGGCGCACGAGCCGAAGCTGTGCAAATGCTCGCCTGGTCACCCCTGAAACCTGGGGATCCAGGCTCAAAGATGAATCCAGGGTCACACCCAAGCTGCGAACCTGCGCCTTCAAGGGGAGTGCGACCCCGTCCAGCACAGGCTGTAACCCTATACCCTGCTCGGCCTTGCGACTGACCAGGAGTACCTCTGTCTTGTCTGGATTTAATTTCAGTTTGTTCGCCCTCATCCAGACCATTACAGCGGCCAGGCACCGGTTCAGGACCTCGACAGCCCCCTTAGTAGCAGGTGGAAAGGAGTGACAGAGTTGGACATCATCTGCGTACAGATGACACCGCACCCCGAAACTCCGGATGATCTCACCCAGCGGCTTCATGTAGATATTAAACAGCATGGGGGACAGTATAGAACCCTGTGGAACCCCACAGGTCAAAGGCTGTGGTGTGGAACAGGAGTCCCCCAATAACACCTTCTGGGTACGACCCTCCAGAAATGACTGGAGCCACTGCAGAGCAGTGCCCCCCAGGCCCATTTCCGCAAGGCGCCCCAGAAGGATACCGTGGTCGACGGTATCGAAGGCCGCTGAGAGGTCCAGGAGCACCAACAGGGACACACTCCCCCTGTCTAGCTCCCGGCAGATCATCCACTAAGGCGACCAAGACCGTCTCGGTACCATGTCCCGGTCTGAAACCAGACTGTGCCGGATCCAGAATATCCGTGTCTCTCAAGAATACCTGGAGTTGTGAGGCCACCACGCTTTCCATGACTTTGCCCAAAAAGGGGAGATTGGAAACAGGCCGAAAGTTGTCGAATTTAGTGGGGTCCAGTGATGGTTTCTTCAACAGCGGTTTTATAACTGCTTGTTTTAAGCACGCTGGAATCTTGCCTTCCCGAAGGGAGGCATTAACCACCACTGTTACCCACTCAGCCAATCCCCCTCTGGCCTCTTTCAGAAGCCAGGAAGGGCAGGGGTCTAGGATGGACGTGGTAGGCCTCATTCCTCCAAGTATCTTGTCCACATCCTCGGGTTTCACAAACTGAAAAGAATCCAACAAAATAGGACAAGCAGGTGCTCGTGTCACATCCACAGAGACTGCATTTAACATGGCGTCCAGCTCAGAACGGATCAAAGCGACTTTGTCTGCAAAGAACCGAGCAAATGCTTCACAGTGCGTGACCGAATTGTCAGGGCTCCCGCCTGAAGTGGCGGGAGTTAAAAGACCTCTGACAATCCGGAACAACTCCGCCGGACGGTTCCTTGCAGACGCAATAGTGGCCGCAAAGAAAGTTTTCTTTGCAGCTTTTATTGCCGCGGCATATGCCCTTAAAAAGGACACAAACCGTGTTCGATTTGACTCGCTTGGGTCTGAACGCCACACGCTCTCTAGTTCCCTCTTCCTTCGCTTCATCACTGCCAGCTCCTCAGTAAACCAAGGGGCTGGTTTAGCTCGGCTACTTGAGAGGGGACGTTCCGGAGCGATCGTGTCAATTGCCCTGGTCATCTCCCCATTCCAGAGAGCGACCAAGGCCTCGACAGGGTCACCTACCGCGGAGGCGGGAAAATCCCCAAGAGCCGTCAGGAATCCGTTCGGATCCATAAGCCTCCTGGGGCGGACCATCTTAATGGGTCCTCCACCCTTGCAGAGGTTAGGGGGTGCAGTGAGCCTAAATCTGATCAGGAAGTGGTCAGTCCATGGCAACGGAGAGATAGACAACTCCTCCACACCGCCACCCTGCTCCCATCCCTGACAGAAAACCAAGTCCAATGTGTGTCCAGCACAGTGGGTGGGGCCAGATATTTGTTGGGACAGCCCCATGGTTGCCATGGCAGACATGAAGTCCTGAGCCGCTCCTGTGAGGGTCGCCTCGGCATGGATATTGAAGTCTCCCAGCACGAGAAGCCGTTGAGACTCCAACGCCAGGCTCGAGACTACCCCCGCTAGCTCAGGTAGGGAGACTGTAGTGCAGCGAGGTGGACGGTACACTAGCAGAATCCCTATTCTGTCCCGGTCACCCACCCTTAAGTGGACACATTCAAAATTTGTGGTCTGCGGGATGGGGCTCCTGGTCAGATGGATGGAATCTCTATAGACCACTGCAACCCCGCCTCCCCGTCCTCCGGATCTCGGTTGGTGCTGTACGGAGAAACCTGGAGGACAAAGCTGGGTGAGATTCACACCCCCAGCTTCATCCAACCAGGTCTCCGTAATGCACGCCAGATCTGCCCGCTCATCCAGGATTAAATCCTGGATGAAGGTCGTTTTTCCATTGACAGATCTGGCGTTCAGCAGCACCACCTTCAATCCAGAGGGCGCTCACCTGGTTACACCAATTTACCTTGGGAGACCGATTTGGGATTATTAGTTTGGATAAACGGTCCGAATTAAGCCGAATTCGAGGTCTCCTTTTTCCGCATCTCCTCCTTCCCACCACGACCTCTATGGGGGCCCCTCGGCTAGTGGAACACCTCCCCCCCTCCATGCCGCGGTCTCTGATTAGGATCTTAATATCTGTTTCATTTGATGTTTGGTTTGTCGGTCCCTGCCAACTCCCTTGCTTCCCTTGCTAAATGCTCATTTAGTTCTGCCTTTTGGACTTTCAAAGTGTTAGGGGTATCACAATGGTTTTGAAATAGATTTTTCCCACCTGTGGCATTTAAATTCTCAGCAGTCCCTAGTGAACCACATCTCATGGATTCAACTTTAGTATTTGTACATTTTATGTAATTTGTAATAACTTCTCAATTATTCTTCTTCGCTCATTTTTGACAGTCAGATTAATACTCACTCCATGAGCTTTCACCTCTGCCGTAATACTGTTCAAATCATTGTCTGTAATTCGTCCAGCCACAACAAGCTCAGAGCCATCATAATAATGTTTAAAATTATTTTCAGTCACGTCAGAGATGACATTTTCAGGGTATTCCAGTGTTACCTCAGTAAGTAAAGGATTGGCAACTTCATCATAAAAACCCTAGAAACAAAACATTTGCTAGAATAACTAACAGCAGCAGTACAAATGTATCTGTTGAGAGCAAAATCAGTACAGAAGGTATCAATGCCTGGAAATGTTATTCAAAAAAGCCGCATTCCTTGCAAATTTTTGTGGGAGCTCATATTTTATTCCTAACACGTAATATAAAGCCCTAACTCCACAGGGTCCCATCGAGAGTAGGTCCTATCAAGCAATCACTGAATGACGAGTAAATTCCTACATTCATATATAATATAGATTCAACAGGTCTACACTTGAGTCAGCGTAATGTAGTGGTGTAAGGATTGGACTATGACTCTTGGAACCATAGTTCGATTCCCCACTTGACCACTTGGTGACCTTCGGTGAGACACTGTCTTAACACCAGAAAACTGTGTGTTAGGGTCATTTTTGGATTGCAATGCGTTGAAATCCAAAATTAGCAAAAAGGAATAAATGTTAGGACTGGTTGATTTAAAAATTGGTTAAAAACTAGTTTCGGATGTAGGGGGTGCTGATGGTTCCATTCTAAAGTCACTTCCATTTTTTTTAATCAAAACTTCCAAATCAATTTGTTATTATTTTGTGTCCATTGTATACTCTCCATGAGTCTACATTGTACAGCCCTCCTCTCCAATTTGTTGATGATTCTCCTTTCGGTTTATGAATACACCCTTCAGGTTGCTGTGATTTTTCCGGGCTGTCTGGCCATGTTCCAGAAGCATTCTCTCCTGACGTTACGCCTGCATCTATGGCAGGCATCCCCAGAGGTTGTGATGTCTGTTGGAAACTAGGCAAGTGGGGTTGATATATCTGTGGAAAATGGGGTTTATATATTATAGACCTCACAGCCTCTGAGGACGCCTGCCATAGATGCAGGTGAAACGTTAGGAGAGAATGCTTCTGGAACATGGCCAGGCAGCCCAGAAAACTCACAGCAACCCAGTTATTTCAGTCATGAAAGACTTCGACAATACAATGCACATCCTTCTTCTTTTCTCCAATGTTTCCCCTTCTCCTTCGATGGTATTATTCCTCTCTTTGCACCCAAGGTTGTGCTTTTTCTCCCTGAATCTCCACCTGACAGTTCTCCTTTTGCATAATTCCTCCTCCTCATTTGGAAGTGAATTAATGCTGAAATGACAATGGAAATCTCCCCTTCCCAGAGGCGTCTTTTTTGCCTCTTTCTGGGGTTTTATCATCAGGCCGAGGCTCGATCCGGATTAGCGGGATCCTTTTTCCCGAAATGGAAGGGGGTCCAGTCTATGAAATGCCCCCCTCCCCTAGAGAAAGGAAAGAGGACCCTTTTCCTTTGCAAAGGGGAGAAAAAGGGGCATAATTTCCATGCGTAAAACTACCTTGTTTTTATTTGGATGGAGAGATCTCTCTCTCTAAGAACGTGCACGTCGAATCCGGGTCTGTTCCTTCCCTGAAAGATTTCTCCTCAACTACAACACAGAAGCCCCATCTACACTGCACTACAATGCAGCCTGAAACCGCATTTATATGTTACCAGTTCAAACTGCATCATATAGATTTATCCTGGGGATATAATGCAGTTCAAGGAAGTGACCTTGTTTTGGGCACTGTTGCTGATCCAACCCAAGATCCAAGATGCGAGTAAACCTCGGCTGGATTTCAATGGCCACATCATTGCAAGGCATAGACTCTACGCTGACCATAAAATGCAGTTCCAAACTGGCAGGATAGATCTAGCCCAGGCATGGGCAAACTTGATCCTTCCCTCCACATGTTTTGGACCCCACTTAGCGGCTGGGGGGGGGGGAGGAGGAAAGGACCCGAGGCTTTGCCCATGCCTGATCTATCCCTTTGGAGAAAGAATGATTCCCAAGCATCTTAATTTGAAAAGACCAATGTTTTGGTGCATAAAACATGTAATGTTGTTTAACAGCAGGGCCTTTTGCAATCTCTACCATTGGGGGCCTGTTCTTCACAAACTACAACAATGGCTGTGCTTAGCCACGTCCACTTCATCCCAGCAATCACGATACAAAGGATTTAAATACACCTGGTGTCCCATAAGGGAGGGGAAACAGTCTGTTGGTGGTTGTTTGAATACTGGCATCATGCGGCCCATGAAAGATTACTCCTAGCAGCTTATACAATGCGGAGAAGAACTTGGGGAAAACAGAGTATATGAGAAGAATGGAGGAGGAAAGCAGGGACTGCCCTCTTGCATCTTTTTCTTTTAACATCTTAGACCCCTTCTACACTGCCAAAAAAAATCCAGATTATCAGCTTTGAACTACAGTTTTATTTTAAATTGATGTTTTAATTTTGCTGTTTTAACTAACGTCTAAGTGTGATTTTATTACTACTGTTGCTGGCATGTAATGGGTGCCGGTTGTGAGCCACCCTGAGTCCCCCCTCCAGGATGAAAAGAATGGGATATAAATGTCCGAAATAAATAAATGATAAATAATATTATATGGCAGTGCAGACTCAGCTTATCTGGATTATATGACAGTGCAGAAGGGGCTTTAGACTCAAGTAAGGACTAAATAGCATATTCTTGTTACAAAAAGTATCAGTCAATAAAATAAAATAAAAAACGAAGGCTATATTTCATGTTATTATTGGCCAAGGTCCTGTCTGATGCTGGAGGAGCCTAAAGATGCAAACATATACTCTGAGAGTTAGAGAGTAGAATACCGCTGGGTTCAGTGGCCCCGAGGTACACCAAAGAGTGATGCGACCTGGGGATAAGGGCTCTATGGAATGTACTTGATTCTTCCTGGGTTACTGTCATAAAAGTTGACTAAACTCTGGTTGTGTAAGGATAACTCACTAAGAATATCCTGTCTATAATTATTATTACCTGTAACTGTAAGGCTGCATCAGAGTCCTCATAGATACGGCGAGCCAGACCATTGTTCTCTTTTGACACTCTTTCCAAAAATGCATAGTCAACACCATATCCAAAACCAAGACTGTATAAAGGGTATTCTCCTAGGGATGTATTTTTTACATTTTCTCGAATTTTAAGTGGATCTGTTTCACCTGCATGGAGGAAGCTACATAAATTAAACTTTGCATTTCACTTTGACAAAATAACATGGAGGAAAACTCTACCAAAAAGTTAATTACATTGTTTAACATTTGGAAATTAATAACAGGGGGAAATGGAAGAACAGAACACAAATAATGTAGTTTGAGGAATCCTTCTCACTGCTTATGTAGCCTAAGTGTAGCTTGTATATGGTATGTTCACGGATTCCTGATGGTTAACTCGACATTCTAATTTCTTTAAAAATGAAATCTGATATCAAAACTAGATTTGTATTCCTGTTGGGGTCTGACTGGATCCTAACATTGTTTAGAGTGGCATCTGATTTTATATCTTGTCCCATCCAGGATCCAATCTGTTTTAACATGGATCCTGAATCAAGATTCAAGAATGTGGACATGCAGGCTTCTGAAATTGACATACACTGACATTTTTTAAATGGCTATAACCTTTTTTTCACCCATCTATATACTTTTTGGAGACGTGGTAAAATTCTATTACTATTAAACTATTAAAATTCAGACAGACACCTCAAGGTGTTTGTGTTCTGGGTAACTGTATATTTTGATGTTCTCCATCCTTTCCCCTACTGTTGGAATAAGTGAGCTTGGCTTTTTTGCTTTAGCGACACATGCTATTTTTGTGTCCTTCGAGAAAAGGAGTGAAGAAATGTACTCCCTAGCATCCTATTTTGTGGCTCTTGGAGAACCCATACCACCACATATTTTGAAAAATACACCATCAGAGTTTTTGATTACAAAAATACTTTCACAAGAATTTTAAAACTGGCATAAAAATATTAACTATTTGGATCCCTTGCCACCATCAATATTCAATATTTCCTATTAGGGCTGGGCGGTTTCGTTTCGTTAATTCGTAATTCGTTAATAATTCGTTAATTTTTTCAATTACAAAACGATAACGAACCATTCTGGAGCAATTTTTTAAAAAAACGAATTTTTAAACACGTTTTGTAAATGCTTCGTATTTCGTTATTGTATTCGTTTCGTTATTGTTCTGAGGTCGTTTCGTTATTATTTCCGCATGTCTGGGGCAAGTTTTTTGTTTAATTAGTGAAAAATAATTATAATATCACACCAACAGTCAACAACAGAGGGAGAGGGAAGCTTCAGAAGTTTTTGGAGGTTTTTTAGCGTATTTCGCGGTCGCGTCCGCCATTAACGAATCGATTCGTTATTGTTTCGGAAATCGATTCGTTAATGTTTTGTATTTTTTTCACATTTACGAAATTTCGTAAATATCGAACTTTTTAAAAGGAAAATTTTGTAATTATTTTAAATAACGAAACGCAAAACCCCAAAAAACAAATCGATTTTAGAAACAAATTTTTCCGTTGTTACCCAGGCCTATTTCCTATAATCTCCAAACCATGAAAAGAGATTTAAGAATAGGATGATTTTCAATCAAATTCCAGAGCCAGATATGTTGATGTACATCAGAGTGCATCATGGGGAAATGGCCCCAAACCCCTTGCCCTTCTTTGTCCAAAAGCATCAATGAGCTAAGTTTGTTAAGGGTGGGCTAAGATTTGTGTGTATGTGTGTGTGTGTGTGTGTGTGAGGAGCAACTTGAGAAACTGCAAGTTGCTTCTAGTGTGAGAGAATTGGCTGTCTGCAAGGACGTTGCTCAGGGGACGCCTGGATGTTTTGATGTCTCAAGCATGGCTGGTGGGAACGAGAGAGGGCCTTCTCAGTGGTGGCCCCTCGGCTCTGGAATTCACTACCCAAAGAGATCAGATTGGCCCCTACCCTTTCCATTTTCCACAAGGAGTTAAAAACCTGGATGTTCCGCTGTGCATTTGATTAGGCAGTCCCACCAAAGAATGGGATCAATTTTGCCATAGCTCTTCACACTTTCGTTGGCCCTCCCATCCTGTTATTTAAATGCCTAAGGACATTATCCTTCCAGCTGTGACCTTAATTGGAAGCGCACTTTGCACTTTCCCTGGGCTCTCCCTAGGAAAAATTGCACATTCCCCGATCCCTCCACACTCAGCACACAATACTGTTTTTAAAATGTGTAATGTGATTGTAATGTTTCTCTAATGTTGTGGTGGATTTTATTTTGTCTTGTTTTATTTTATTGTGTGTGTGTGTTTTTTTTTAATTTGGGCTTGTCCCCTTGTAAGCTGCCCCGAATCCATTTGGGGAGATGGTGGCGGGGTATAAAAATAAAGTTGTTGTTGTTGTTGTTATGTTTTACCATCCTTCTGGGAGTCTTCTCTCATGTCCCCACATGGGGAGCTGAAGCTGACAGAGGAACCAGCAACCTTCAGGTCAGCAACCCAGCTTTGAGGTCAGCAGTCCTGCCGGCACAAGGGTTTAACCCATTGCACCACCAAGGGCTCCTTTGGGCTAAGAAAAATAACAGCAATAATGAAATGACGGTATAATTGAAGAGTGAATGTTTTCTTTTCTTTAATCTACAAACAATGCAATAGTGAAATTAAGTGACGCCATATTATTTGTTTGTTTGTTTATTTCGTATATTTATATACTGCCTTTCTCACCCCTGGGAGGGCTCAAGGCAGGTCCCCTCAGGGGTACATATAAAGGTGATGAGCAGATATTTTGCTGAATAGATCCTTGTGTGTGTGTGTTTTGTAGAGATTTTCAGATCACTCCTTTCCACATCAGGTAACATCACACTGAAATTATTTCACCTGTTGTTCAATATTATTTCACCTGTTGTTCACACACTCACCTTCATTGGCATTTCCATCTGATAACATGATTGTCAGAGAGGCACTTCTTTCAGGTACAATTTTTAAAGCATGGGCATTATTCAATATCTCAATTCCAGTCATTAAACCATCATTAAAATTTGTTGCTGCAACAGAGAAACCATAACTTAATTTGTATTATGAAGAATGAGAAGAAACAAACACTTGGTTTATTTTAGTTCAGTAGACTACCTCCAGTACTAGTAACATCAATACTTGTTTAGTATCAATATTGGATGTAATGGGATCAGTCCCACATCAGTGGAAAATGATAAATAGCAGAAACAGGACTGAACATATTACAGGAGGGATTGTGTATAGGCTTATTTTGGTATTGTTTTCTTTCTCAAGGTACATCTGTTGTTCATTCGTTCAGTCGTCTCCGACTCTTCGTGACCTCATGGAGCAGCCCACGCCAGAGCTCCCTGTCGGCCATCACCACCCCCAGCTCCCTCAAGGTCAGTCCAGTCACTTCAAGGATGCCATCCATCCATCTTGCCCTTGGTCGGCCCCTCTTCCTTTTGCCTTCCACTTTCCCCAGCATAATTGTCTTCTCTAGGCTTTCCTGTCTCCTCATGATGTGGCCAAAGTACTTCACTTTGCCTCTAGTATCTTTCCCTCCAGTGAGCAGTCGGGCTTTATTTCCTGGAGGATGGACTGGTTGGATCTTCTCGCAGTCCAAGGCACTCTCAGAACTTTCCTCCAACACCACAGCTCAAAAGCATCGATCTTCCTTCGCGCAGCCTTCCCTAAGGTCCAGCTCTCACATCCGTAGGTTACTACAGGGAATACCATGGCTTTGACTAGGCGGATCTTTGTTGCCAGTCTGATGTCTCTACTCTTTACTATTTTATCGAGATTGGACATTGCTCTCCTCCCAAGAAGTAAGCGTCTTCTGATTTCCTGGCTACAGTCTGCATCTGCAGTAATCTTTGCACCTAGAAATACAAAGTCTGTCACGGCCTCCACGGTTTCTCCCTCTATTTTCTACACAATAGAATTATGGTGGTACATCTAAGAAGGTACATCTACACAATAGAATTAATAGAGTTTGATACCACTTTAGTTGTCAAGGATCAATGCTATGGAATTGTGAGAGTTGTCGTTTGGTTAACTACAAGCATCATAAGGCAGAGAAGGCCCTTCAAAAAATACACCACCTCAGGATTCCATAGCACTGAGCCATGGCAATTAAAGCGGTGTCGAATTGCATTCATTCTGCAGTGCAGATGCACCCTAAGTTGATTTCTAAATTAATGGGTTTACTTTTTCCAATATCGCATAAGGAGCATCCAGTACCTTCTCAGGGCTCTTCCACACAGCCATATGACCCAGAATATCAAGGCAAAAAAATCCCACAATATCTGCTTTGAACTGGTTTATCTGAGTCCACACCACCATATATCCCAGTTCAAAGCAGATTATGTGAGATTTTATTCAGTTGTGTGGAAGGGGCCCTAAACAACAGTTTTACTCAGCAGCTTAGTGGGTGCTACATGGAAGTACTTTTGCCCCAACTGCTACTGACTGGTCATTAGATTGCATTGGGAAAGTTCCCGTGTCTGGCTTCCGGGCTCTCTGCCTTTGTCCTCCCTCTCCAGCACCCAGACCTTGTTGTACATATGCTGGTGGAAATTCACCACTATCAAACCAGATCTCGCTCCATGATTCCTGCACATGAAAACTTACAATTTTAAGGAAATAAAAAGTGGATGTAATTTTTTTTTTCTTATATGCTCAGAAGAACTGCTTGCCAATTCGTGTCCAGCACTTACCTCCAGTGACAGTTATATTTCCAATGAAATACTTTGCTTCTTGCACATTCTCAGGAGTAGCTTTAATTATGCCGTCTTTCCATTTATGGACTTTAGATTCAAACAGTATGATATTAAAATGATCGTCTTCTTTTAAATCTTCAACTATTTTTATGAATGCTTCCTTTGCCTTTAATAAAAGGTGAGTTTTTTTAAAGGTTAATATTTAGAAGTGTTTGTTTCCAGTGGTTCTTCCTGCTGGAAAGGCTCCCCTTTCACCCACCTAATTCAATACACTTTAGCTAACTGTTTCTTCATATTCTCTCCCTTTTCCCATAATCTGCTACTGTTTTTGTTCTCTCCAACTTCATCTCATCCCGTTCACTTCCTTCTTTTCCCTGGTTGCTCTACTATGTTTACTTACATGTTTCTAACTCACATGTGTTTCACTTTTTTTGTGGTAACATTTAGTTCATTAGAGAAAATATTTGCACTCAAATTCTGGTTGTGATGGTGTAGCATCTATTAAGCTGTGGATTTTCACACAAAGCCCAAATGTAGTAGAGCCAATATTTATTGTTGTTGTGCACCTTCAAGTAATTTCTGACTTTTGGCAACCCTAAGGCAAAGACCTAGAACAATTACTGCAGTCAAGGAAGAAAATGTCAAGGCAAGTTTACTGTTAAATATTAAGGAAACAAACAAAAATGACCACAGCTAATTTACATCCATTTAATGTAGACAATGAAAAAATTAAATTCTCAAAGTTTTCCCATGTGTTTGCTCAATCATTGATCAAAACTGAGATTGCCATTTAGAAATCAGAAGAAGACTAGCATTTGGAAGGACTATGAGAGAAATGGATAAGATCCGACAGTCTAAATATACAGTCGGCCCTTGGAATCCATTGGAGTTTGCTTCCAGGATCCTCAGTGGATATTGAAATGTGTGGAGGCTTAAGTTTCATTATATATAATAGTGTAGTAAAATTGTAACCCTTTTATCAACTGGCAAAATCAAAGTTCCTTGGACACAATGGATTTCTTAAAAAAAGAAATAAATGGGTCTTTGAACAAATCAACTATAATCTCTCTCCAGAGGCCAAACTGATGAAACCAAGGTTGTCATACTTCGGTCATATCATGAGAAGACATGACTCTGCCGAAAAGACAATAGCACTTGGTAAGATAGAAAGCAGTGGAAAAGAGGAAAACCCAATTTCAGATGAATATATTCAGTCAAAGAAACTATGCCCTTTAATCTGCAAAACCTAGTGTTCGAGATATTGTTGTACACCTTCTGGAGATGTTTCAGTCATAGGGTTGCCATGAATCAAGACTGACCAAGAACAAAAGGCAAATCTATCACAGGTTTTTCTTGGCAAATTTTGTTCAGAGAGAGGATTAACTTTGCCTCCTTATAAGGCTGAGAGAATATGATTTGCCCAAAGTCACCCAGTAGATTTCCATGATGAGTGAGGATTTGAACCCTGCTGTCTTCTCAAATGATGCAGGCCCTATTTGTAGCAGCCCAATATTATACTTTTCCTGTGTGCTACAAAGCCACAATTTAGAAAAAGAAATCTGAAAGTGCATATATTTCAATGTTAGGACTATTGTAACTAATGCAAAATTACTCATAAATCATGGTACTCTTTGGTTAGGACTGCAAGATTGTAAATCTTCAAAATCAGCTCCTTCTTTATTCAGTTCTATTGCTAATAGAAAACCTAGTTATATTCTACTATACTCTCCTGTACTCATATGCTGAATTGATCTGTTTGCAATGAATGATTGTACCCAGAGCCTGCCAATTTAACAGCTGACTAAAGCCAAGGCCTACTTAAAAATATACTCTCGTGACAGCCACCGAATAGACAAGCTATGAGGCTTTTCCTCAAGTTTGTATTTTTACACATGAATTCTGCAATTGTGGATAGATTGTTGTCAATAAAATGTAATAGTTGGATTTAATTTTTTGCTCATTCCTAAGGGGAAGGAATATCTGCTACTTTGATTTTCATCCACATCTGCATTTTGGGAAATTTTAGGTTTTCAGTTTTCAATAGAATTGAATAAGGAAGGAGCTGATTTTGAAGATTTACAATGCATGAATAAAACACATCTGAAATAAACCTATGCTGTAATTTTGTGTTTTGGACATGGATTATGGAAATCAAACCTCTGGGAAAACTATGTTGCTGTTGTTGTTTACCTTCAAGCAATTTCTAACTTATGGTAAACATATCACAGGGTTTTCTTGGCAAGATTTATTTGAAAAATGTTTGCCATTGTCATCCACTGGTTTCCATAGATGAGCAGGGATTTGAACACCGCAATGAGTCGCCAGTAGGCTGAGAATTGCGGTATATAAGCGTAGTAAATAAATAGTAAATAAATAAATAAACTCTGGTCTCCCAGTGACCTAACCACTATGCCACACTGGCTCTTTTTGTAGCAGCACAATATTATACTTTTCCTATGTGCTACAAAGTCAATGGGAAAACTACTATGTACCTTAAGGATGTAGACCAGTCCTTAAAAGTTACAAATATGTCATTTCTGCTGTACAGCAATAATACGTTACCTGCTGAATTCTGATTCCATACATGGAGCCGCTGATATCTATTATGAAGGCAATATTCTTAGGTAAACGGGGAAGATTTTTTGGTGCAAAAAAATGTACAAAATATCCATTGACAATCTGAAAAACAAGGGTAAGATGTAGAAATACCATTACAATGAGCCTTATGTCCTGATGTGTGTCTCTGACTGACCAAAAGGTGAATTTACCTGTAGATTACTAGGTAAATCTCTGTTCACATCATATTTTATGAGAAAATCTCCTTGCAGCAGAGAGGTTGTACAGTTGTCGCAGGTTCGCTGTTGATCAATAGTGGGACTGAAAAACACATGGGCCTAGAACAAGAATAAGCATACTCGTTTTAGATTTCAGCAAAAACACAAAAATATAAACCATGTTGAAGATGGGACTTAATTCAGAAAACCTCTTTCCCTTATGTGGGACCCTTCCAGGCAGGCCCAAAATGCAGGACCTGTCGTGGTTTTACCTGAGGCATTCAAACGACACTTCATGTAAAACTGAATTAATCTGGAGAACACTGGACTTTCCCGGTTTGCTCTGGATTAATAAAACACCTGGAAAAATCCAGAACTTAAACTAAAGTGAGCACCCTGGGGGATTGTCCCGGAGATCAGTCTCCACAGTAATCCTGGTTCTTCGGGCTCTAAGATCCTGATGGAGTGGGATGGCACCCCCACCCTCCAATCCCCCTATTTTTTCCCCAAAACTTAACTGAGGGGCAGCATAGGTCCCTTCAGAGAGCTCTCCTGGCAGTCAAAAATGATGCATCAGAAGCTGGAGGGGGAGGACCTCCAGCTGCAGTAGGCCCCTCAAATAAGTTGGGTTTTTTGTGGGGGGAAGGTGCTCTTGTATGTAGCCATTCCACAGGGGAAATACAAGGTTTTGGGGTGTGTGTATGTGGCCTTAATCCCGAGAGAAACAGGGTTTAAATAACCCAGTTCCACCCAGGATTAAGGCCTGTCTGGAAAGGTCCTTACTGCTAATATTTTGGACTATTTACATTCAGCTATACAACTCCCTTTAAGATTATCTAAGTCCTATAGTACTGTCTTATGCTCACTTTCCAGTGGAAGTGACCATATAGTCATGCTAGAGGACCTAGAAATTCCTAGAGAGGTGTTCTTTCATATAGATACAGACACATATATACATATATATCTTTATGTATACATTTTAAAAATACATTTTTGAGATGTATATAATACCAATAGACAATGAACAAAATAACAAGTCATATCTTTATTTATGGTTGTTTTTTGTTTTTTTTACCTTTTGGGGGATCTAATGCCCCTGAACCCAGCAAAAGTGGAGAGCTGACTTGAATGGAGACAGTCAGGTGAGAGAAAATTTAAAAGAAGAATTGTTGCATTATAATGCCAATACATTTCAGAGGCCCAGTGCTATAAAATAGTTTTTATAGCACTGGGCCCCTGAAATGTATCGGCATTTGGAGTTGAAAAAAGAACATATTACTCTCCTGAATATATATTTGCAAATGGAATAGCATGTCTTCAAGCAACTAAAGAGAAAGCCCAACAATTTTTCAGCTTTTAAAAAAAACAGTCACTCATGGAGTTTTGGATTGAGATAACTGTTCTTTACACTCCAGAATTTAACCATAACCTATAGCTGGTCTTCTCTTAATCTTTTCTCGCTGCATCACCTTTCCACTTCTGCCTCCTCAAACAAATATTGGAGATATTGGCTTGAATCCCACCAGTTAATTCAAACTAGTAGACCAATTGAGTCAAATGTTGAAAAGTGAGTCAATAGGACTGCTTTATTTTGGCTATTATTATTATTATTATTATTAAACTTTATTTGTACCCCGCTAGTATCTCCCGAAGGACTCGATGCGGCTTACAAAGGCCAAGGCCTCAACGCACAATACAACAATACAAAACCTAAGGCAAATTAAAAACAATTAAAGCAATATAAACAACAGGCAATAACAATACACTAAGACACAATAAAACTGGGCCGGGCCAGACTAATGGGTACAGGATTAAAAGTGCTGATGTTTATGCCAGTGATCCATGATTTCTAATATTCATTTGATAAATGTTAAAAACAGTTTTTTTTTATTTCCAGAGTCATCTGTACTGTAACTGTATGGCTTTGATAAAAGGCTGGTGACTCCGTTTTAATTCTTCACTTCTGTGACAAAATCCCAGTTCTTCATGATGTCTCCAGCATGACTATCAATGCTGCTCCCATGTGCAACTATGGAGCCATAGGCCCCTTCTACACTGCCATATAATCCAGATAATCCAATCAGATAATCCACATTATCTGCTTTGAACTGGATTATATGAGTTGACACTGCTATATAATCCAGTTCAAAGCAGAAAATCTGGATGTTATACGGCAGTGTAGAAGGGGCCGTAGAACAAGCCATTTTTAGATAGTTCCTTCTGTTCATCATAACAGTGACTTGTTCAGACAAACTACATGTAAGTACTCAGGACTGCCTTCTAGTATACCAACAATACTTTCTAACAAATCAGTATTATTCATTTTAAGACCTACCTTTTTCCCTGAGTAGGACTTTTGCACAAGTGGCAACAACTCATTGTTGAGGAATGTTCCTTCCACTTCAAGATCACTGATGCCTTGAGGCTCAAAAATGTTTGCCTCAATCTGTAATGTTAATTAAAGGATACAGTCACAAAGGAAACAGAAGAACAGCAAGACAAAAGGTAGAAAAATGTATTTTTGAAGAGAGAGAGAGAAAAAAGAATCATTGCCAGTGTCATGAATACATCTTGGAGGTATTTCTTTTCCAAGATGTCCCATATACCACTAAACAAAAGTGCTCCCAACCATAAGTTCAAACTGGAACTCAGGAGTTGTAATAATATCACAGGTCAGGACTTTGGGAGCAGAAACCAGGAGACTCATTCAGAAGAATGAGCAGAAAGGCCCTCAGAGACACATAGTCTCAGGGCACTTCCAGACACATCAAATAAAATCCCGATTCCTCTCAGGACTTTGTCACCACTGCAACCCTTAACCTCAGTCTTTCCCTCAGGCAGAGGCTCGATGCTCTTCCAGGTCAACCAAAGACTGACCTGGGAGGGCATCCAACCATCCTCCAGCCCCCCATTCCCTCCCCAAAACTTACATGAGGGGGCTCCCAGCCATACAGGAATTTCCCCCCCCCCCCTCCACCCCCACCTCCTGAAGCATCATTCTGACACAACTACAGAGCTCTTGGGGGCCTGCATGACTGACAGGCCCCTCAGGTAAGTTTTGGGCGAGGAAATGGGCTGCGGGGGTGCCATTCCACTCCTCTGGGCTTTTGGGAGTCCGAAGAAGTGGGATGGCTGTGGGGACTGACCTCTGGACTACGGAAGCAGTCCTAGGAGTCAGTCCCCACAGGGCCCTCACCTATAAAGATCTGGATCTTAGCCTAAGCACCGGATCTTTACAGGTGTTTTTAAAACCTGAATTAAACTTTATAATTTGGTTTACTCCAGTTTGAATTAATTGGCCTGAAATGTTTTCTGGATGCCTCAAGTTGATCCATTTTAGTCCAGGTTTTAGGGCTGTGTAGAATGGTCCTCAGAAAATAGTAAGGGTGCTCACCACCCTTGGTGCAGTCTTGGTCTGGAAGAGCAAGGACCACATAAAATCATTTTACTTTACCATCACGTCTCCCATCATAGGTGCCTTTTTGATAACCCAGAAGTGACAGTTTAACATCTGAAGCTATACAGATGTTAACTTTACACCAAGTTAAAGATGTTTTGTGGTAGCAGTCATCCCCCCCCCCCCCAAAAAAAAAAAAAAGCTTAGACTCTGGCCCAGAGAATATTTTTTGCCACTAGCCCCAAATTTTGCCTTTTTTTCCAGGCAGGACCAGGTGGATATGGGTGTACTGTGGGTTTAAAGGGCAAGACAGAGCTCCATATATGGCCAGTTTTCCTGGAGCAGCCGCAGAACTCCTAAGAAGTGCACGTGGAGGCCTGGTTGGGAGCCACTGCTCTAGGCAATAGGTTCCATTGCTGAACTGCTAACTGTTAAGAAGTTCCTTCTTGTAATCCATTGAAATTTACCTTCCTGCACCTTAAAACCATTAGTTCTATCCTCTGGGGAAGCAGACAACAAGCTTGGACCCACCTCTTTGTGGCAGCCATTGTGATATTTAAATAGTGCAACCATTTACTCGTCAGTTTTGCTTCCAATCCTGATATCTATATGTGTCTGTGAGTCCAAACTATTTGGAGGTTTCAACTCAAATGGGAGCACTTCCACATTGATTCTACTTTATAGCATGGTTATATACCTCAAATAACTATTGTTTCCTCTAGGGCAGTGGTTCTCAACCTGGGGTCCCCAGGAGTTTTGGGTCTACAACTCCCAGAATCCCAGCCGGTTTACCAGCTGTTAGGATTTCTGGGAGTTGTAGGCCAAAAACACTTGAGGACCCCAGGTTGAGAACCACTGCTCTAGGGAAATCCTGGATTTTGTAGTTTAGGGAGTTTTGTAGTTCGGGAAGTTTGGGGTTAGAACTCTTTGGCTGGAAATTATTAGAAAATGGAAGCCCTGGGATTGCCTAGGATGTTGTCATGGCAATCAAAGTGGAATCACAGAACTATAATTGTGTGATGTGACAATGTCCCAATTGTTTATCAGAAAAAGGTAATCAGAACATATAAAAGCAGTTCTGAACCAGCTAAATTGGCTGGCTCTATAGTTCTAGACCCAATATATGGTGCAGTGATTCTCTTCAAAGCTCTAAAGCTTTCCTCTTGTAGCTGCATCATTATAGAATGATCTTCTACATGACAATTCTACATGATAGTTCTTGGCTACTTTTATTTGAACGAATATTCCTTTTTTGTGTTGTGATTTCAATATAGTGGCTATTTTAAATATTTAATATTGTTTTATTCATTATATTTTACATTTCATTGTATTAACTTATTTTCTTTTTGAAATACCTTATGGAAGGTTCATCTTAAGTGTAGAAGTATTGTAAATAAATCAATACTAATGAAAAATACTTCAAATATTTTATTGTATGCTGGTCATGGAATATAATTTACTGCTAGAACACACTACTACTCTGTACAAGAGAAATGATTGTGGAACTTACTTCAAACTTATTGACAAGCTGCTTTGGATTCACTTTTATGAACAATTCATACTTTCCAAAGTTTCGTTTCAGAAGTTCCTCATAGGTCAATTCAAAAGTTATTTTGCTGGCAGCTGCAACGTTTACTGAAACACTGAACTTCTCAGTTTTCCTTCCAGAAGCCCTTCATATGATGAGTGTACACACAAATAAAACCACATATATATTATTTTAGAAGATTTTTAAATGGTTCACTTTTCCACCTTGCAATTTGAACAGTAACTCTAAAAACGATTCAATAATAATAATAATAATAATAATAATAATAATAATAATAATTATTATTATTATTATTATTATTATTATTATTTTATTTCTTACCCACCTCTCCTTGTGGCTCAAGGCGGGTTACAGAATAATTAAACATCATAAATATTGTTAAAAATCAACATATACACATATTAAAATGTATTTCTATAAAAGATATATATCCAGGAGCACTCACAAAAGACTGCGAACACAGACTTTCAAGGGGAGTGTAACCTCATCCAGAACTGACTGACACTCCTCCATCCCTAGGTTAGGCCTCTTGATGGCAAGCACCTCTGTTCTGTCTGAATTCAAGCTCATTTTGTTTTTCCTCATTTAGCTCATTGCCTCCTCCAGGCATTCATTCAGAGGAGACATGATATCCTTAGCAAGAACCATTTGGGAAGGCATGGAGAAATATATTTGGGTGTCACCAGCAAACTGACAGCACCCGCCACATGCCTTAAGATGATCTCTCCCAGCAGTTTCATGTAAATATTGAAAAACCATTGAGGACAGAATGGTACCTTATGGGATACCACATAGCAGCTCCTTTTTTGAGAAGTAGCTATCCCTAAGGAGCACCATCTGAAAAGTATGACCAGAACCATTTAGGAACAACTGTCCTAAAAGATATGTATCTTATCTTAGTCCCCTTCTGCCATAAAAAATCCAGATTATCTGCTTTGAACTGGATTATATGGCAGTTTATTTATTTACCACAATTGTACCCCACCCCTCTCACCCTGAAGGGGACTCAGGGCGGCCTGACAACAAGCAACAATTCAATGCCATACACATATACATCCATAAAAGAAACAAATACAATTATTGAGTGTAGACTCAGATAATCCAATTCAAAGCATATAATATGGATTATCTGATTTGATAATCTGGATTATATGGCAGTGTAGAAGGGGCCTTTATGACACCTACACTCAATCTCATTCCTTACTATGGGACTTAAATCCTAACCCTTTTTACATAGGGCGGTTCCAGATAGGCCTTTATCCCAGGAAAATCTGTGGCTTTTAAACACGGATCTTCCTGGGGACCTGTCTACACCCTCCCCAGAAAGTGTGTGCTTTCTGGGGTGGATGTCCAGATACTCTCACGGGACTGCCCCGTGAGAACATTTGGAAGCCCTAGCCCCAAAAGCCCCCAAACCCCTTTGATAAGTAAGGGAAACTTACCTGGCCTCCAGTAGACTGTAGCCAGAGCTCTACCGGCACGTACTAAAGACGTGCCAGGAGAGCGGGGGAAGGGGAATGAGTATTCCCACAGTTTTCCAGACTAATTTAGTCTGGAAAACTGTGGGAATGGTGTCTGGACTGCAGAAACCGGAAACTGTGACTTTTCCTGGTTTATGGCAAATTAATTTGGGACTGTCCAGGATATCATCTGAACAGCCTCTTCTTTATTGCGGGAGTTACTGCAATAAAGGTGCTGTGTGGATGGGCCCATAGAAACATGTGGTACTTTGATTTTCATGCATGCAGGTCTAGATCTATCTTTTGATATACTGTGTCCATAATAAATGGAATGTCACTTAGAGTCCCTGTTGAATATTTCTAGAAGCCATTTGAGATCTCTTCATTAGAAATAAATGTGTGGGATTAGGCATGAAATAACAAACCTAACAGTAAGGCCTCAACTTACTTCACCAGACCAGCAGTCCGTCCACTTGAAACTGCCTTTTGGTACTGTTTTTGGGCAACTTCTTTTTCTTTTATGGTTCCAGGATAGGTGACACCGTCGATTGTCCTGTTAAAGAGCACATATACAGATATGAAAATATTTTTATTGGTATTTCCGCTTGACATCAATTCATCCAATTGTATATTATAAGGCATTTAGGATGTTTAGAATTCTAGAATTTCTCCGTATTCCTGAGATACAATGATTCCAAGGAAAGGGCATCAATTGTGTACAAAATTATGGAGCTCAGTTCTGTTATTACACATAAGGAAAAAAGTATGAAGCATACTCTACTTGTGAGGTTTCAGGTTATTTCTGGTGACCCTATTACAGAGTTTTCTTGGCCAAATTTGTCCAGAGGGAGGTTGCCCTTGCTTTCTTCTTGGGAAGTCTGACTTGGCCACGATGGTCCACGCTTTGGTTACATCCCGTTTAGACTACTGCAACGCTCTCTACGTGGGGTTGCCTCTGAAGACTGCCCGGAAGCTGCAGCTAGTCCAACGCTCGGCAGCCAGACTACTAACGGGTGCTGGGTACAGGGAGCACACCACTCCGCTGTTACAACAGCTCCACTGGCTGCCAATTAGCTTCCGAGCACAATTCAAAGTGCTGGTGTTAACCTATAAAGCCCTAAACGACTCCGGCCCTGTTTACCTCTCTGAACGTATTCTCCCCTATGAACCATCAAGATTATCAAGATTATTAAGATCGTCTGGAGAGACCCTGCTCTCGGTTCCACTGGCCTTGCAAGCGCGTCTGGTGGGGATGAGGGACAGGGCCTTCTCGGTGGTGGCCCCTTGGCTCTGGCACTCTCTCCCACTGGAGATCAGAACCGCCCCTTCTATCCTGACATTTAGGAAACAGGTGAAGACTTGGCTATGGAGACAGGCATTTGATGAGTGAGTCAACACCCTGAGATATGGATGGAGAATGATGAGCAACGATTTTAGTCTGACGACTGACCATTGTAATTATTGATTGTAATTGCTGTTTTAATGTTTTACTGTAATATGAATTATGATGTTTTATTGATTGTATGTGATATTATGGTTGGAAACTGGTCTGAGTCCCTCGAGAGAGGTGAGAAGGCCGGTATATAAAACTTTTAAATAAATAAATAAAAACTATAACACTTTCCTTTACTGTTTCTTGAAAGTAACTAAAATAGTTACTTGGTTGGTTACTTTAATGCACTGCATGAGCACAACATAAGCCAGCACTTGAACCATGAAATATTCCTTCTTTGACATTTACTGAAGCCACACTCCATTAAATATAAAAATAACCAAAAAGGTATAGCCATGGTGCAAAAGGACAGAGTTATCTTTGTTGAATTAAAATCATGATGCAATATAAACGTTTGGGTTGCTGTGAGGTTCTTTTTGGACTGTATGGCCATGTTCCAGCAGCATTCTCTCCTAACATTTCACCTGCATCTATGGCTAGCATCTTCACAGAACCTCCGTACATGCCAGCAACAGAGGCAGGAGAGACATTAGGAGAGAATGCTGCTGGAACATTGCTATATAGCCCAAAAAACTCACAGCAACTCGGGGAGGCCTGAAAGCCTCTTTACTATGCAATATAAACTTTTGTTATTGGGGAAAGGATCAGGTTATTTGCAACCAGATATTTCAAACTCTTTTTTTAAAAAAAAACAAACAAACCCTGAAGCTTGTCATAATGTGTGTCAGCAGCAATGTGGTACATAATGAACAATAAAGAAAGAAAGACAGAAAGCCAAACAACTGTATTATGAAACCATAGTTATTGAGGTCCTGGATGAAATGAATCTGTATGATTCTGCATAATTCAGGCTTTATCTGGAGTATTATGTTGACTTGTGGGATTAACTTTCTAAGAAAGATGCAGATGGGTAAGTTCAGGTTCAGAGACAGTCAGTGAGGATTTCTAGTGATATGAAAAAAAAACAGGCTCTATGAGTAAACTGGGTATATTTGAACTGGGTATATTTATCTTGGCCAAGGAAACATTCAAAGGGGATATGATAGCTTTATTCAAACAACTGGCAGTTTGCCTCATCAGACAGAAGAGAACAAAAACTTGCCTTTTGCCCCCAAAGATAGGGCACATTGGGCTTAAGTTACAGAAGGCTAGTTTGGGGGATTATCTTGATCCAAAGACAGTTGGATAAGGAAACCAATACTTTCATTTCTAGATTGTAGCCCTAGATTTCCTGCAGGTAGTGAAGAGGTGGGGTGGAAAAGATGATGTACAAGACCCTTTCCAACTTTACAGTTCTGTGTCATTTAGTGCAATTTCAAATTTCTAGATTGACTTCAGGAGTAAGTAGAGGAAAATAACAATATGTTTTACATACATGGTGAAATTGGTAATGAAGGCTGTTTTAGGAAGCTCCACATCGAAGAAGGCTTCCTTGGACACATTCGCCCGATTGACAGCACGGCTAGTGATGACATTACGGGAGAATCGAGAAGTAACACTGGAATCAATTTTCACCCAATATATTTCTATGCCTTTAGGGTGCTGAAAAATGAAAGTGTTAGTTACCTTTTCTGTATATTGACCTTCATAGGATAACAAATTACTTTTATGACACTTAAAGAACAACAGTAAAACAGAATGAAGAAGTCTCTGCTAAAACAACCATAGAGTTTATTTTGAAGGAAGCATTGATCTGATATTATCCCATTCCTTTAAGAGCCAATGGGCTTTTTAGTGAAAAAACAAGGGATTTTTCAAAGTTACTTTGTTTTCCTACTGAAACAGATGATGGAACAGGACCATTTTCTTTAAACAGATAGACATAAACAAGGAAATGCAGTAAAAATCAAGAGTGGATAAGAACATACAAAGGGGCCTTGCACACTACACAGTTATAGTATTATGATTCCACTTTAATTGCCATGGCTGTATCATATAGCTCCTGAGATGTACAGTTTAGGAGGGGCATTTGAAATTTAGCTAGAACATAGAACATCTCAACAAAGTACAAACCCGAGGAGTTCATAGGATATTTCCATTGCATGGGGGATATAGCTATGATTGGGAGGCAGGATGACAAAATGATGGCTCTGTATCCCTCTAAATTTTTTTCCTTCTGATCCCATGTCTAGCTTTACAAACATTGAAAATAAATTGTACATAGAACTCTTATATTTGCTATGTTCAAATTGCCTTGGCAGGTTTGTCTTCTCCTTTACTTGGATGCATTTCTAAATGGCCAAATGAAGGTTTAAAATACTGCAGTATTAGAAGTATGCAGGCAGGAAAAAAATTAATGGAGAAAGGGGAAGAATTCCTGTTGCGCTTTCATTCTCCCCTGAGCCACATCCGTGTAGTTAAAGTGGAACCATCATGCTATATTTGTGCACTGTGTTAAGGAACTTAGTCGTTTAGCTGCCAATGTTTCTTCTGCAACTTCTTTAACTTTTCCTTCTCCTCCTCCTTTTTAAATAACACATATATGTAATACATATTATATTCTTAAAGTAACAAAATTTCCAATTTGTAAGGAACACAACAATTGCCAATCTGCAATTTTATGAAAATTTTCAGTTTTTTGCAGGAAACAAATGACAGAAATGTTTTTTTACCCATGTCTTCAAAATTTCTGGAATATTTTTGCATCTCTGCAAAAAAAAGTACAGCATTCTAAATGAAATGAAATAACTACTTACCTCATCAATTGTATTTCTTTTCTGCAACAAAAGCGGTACAGTAAAATTGTTAAGTATGTAAGAACAAGGAAGATATTATCACATACCACATGGTACCTAACAATTGTATATCTGTATACATCGTCACTCTGTTATCAGTAGTGAAGGATACACAGTAACTATGAGCTTCCACCAGATAAAAATCACAATAGGGCTCAATGTATTTAGTTCTCCACATTGCTGTGATAGAATTATTCATTCCAGCAATGTAGTACATTAATCCAGACAAAACTAGGAGCCATAAATGGATTGTAGAAGCAGGTAATTATTATGCCTCGGATGCTTATAGAATATGGAAGTAATTTAATTAGCATCTTTAAAAGACCAGAATTGTAACCAGTGGTGTTGCCCACGAACAGAACAACCACTGTTGGCACATTGGATCCTTCCTCACCCTTAAGCCCAAACATCTTCGAGAAGCAGTGGTTCTCAACCTGTGGGTCCCTAGATGTTTTGACCTTCAACTTCCAGAAATCCTAACAGCTCACAACCTCTGAGGATGCCTGCCATAGATGCAGGTGAAATGTCAGGAGAGAATACTTCTAGAACATGGCCATACAGCCCGAAAAACCTACAACAACCCAGTGATTCCAGCCATGAAAACCTTCGACAACATCGCTGTGAGGATTCAGGAAACTGATTTGGGGTATTAAGGATTTTTGGAGAATAAGTTTCATTGGGACAGTGGAAATCTGTGTAACTTTGGATGCAGGTGGGTTATTGTGTGACAGCTCATTAGGATCACAGCCAATCCGATAGAAAAAAAGATTCCTTAGTTTGATCTACATATAAAAACCAAACCCATTTCTCAGATAAAACAAGAAAATATATTCCACACTAATACAAATATCATGCTTCTCAACTGACACTATTTTGAGAGAGAAGTTCTAGACTGATTTTGTATCTAAATCGCTTTGGTATAAAGTTCTCATGGACTTCCATAACATTAAAGAGGAAATTACTCCTTATAGGTTTGCATGAAGTGCCATTCAAAATGAAGGAAAACTCAGAAATTACTATCTAATTGACTTTATGGTTCTTAATTAGAAAATAAAAATGTGAATATCTTTTCAAAACTCTTTTTGACTACATTCTATCATTCTTCCTCAAAACAAAATCCCATACAGCTGAATCCTGTAGTAATCCATGGTTTACTCCCCCTCTGGTACGTTTAAGATAATGTGTGGTTGAACTGACATCTGAGGCCCCTTCTACACTGCCATATAAAATCCAGATTATCTGATTTGAATTGGATTATATGGTAGTATAGACTCTGGATTATCTCACAGTGTAGAAGGAGTCTGGTTAATACATGGGATCGCATAGCATAGTGCTTGACAAGTCATTGAAAGATCTGATTGCTGTGCATCTATAGCTGATGATAATGTTAAAAATATTTTTTCCCCTGAAAAACAAAAAGGTTCTGTATAAAGTCCAGCCACATACCTTGATATTCCTGAGTTGTTCTATTAAAAAATCTGAAGATACAAGTGCAGGAATGAATGCCAACCAAATGTAAAATGGCAGGTGGCTTCCCATGTTGAAAGCAAGTAAGTCAGTGTGGAGGCACCTGCATTTGCAGGAACATTTTGTAAGTTGTCAATCAGTGACTAGGTGGATAATACAGAATTGACATATGAAAATGAGGGAACTATCAAATATTTGCCTTTAGAGAGATATGGTTCCAGAGAAAAGAGCTTACGAAATATTACCGTGAAAGACATGCGAGTCCAAGGCCAGAGACCCTAGTCATTGCTTCTGATCTAGACTCCTGGTGTCTTTGTAGCTATTAAACACAGCCCCCCTCCCCCACAATCCATGTGTTGTTACATATGCTGTGTCAGATAAATGTAACTAATTTTGAAATAATTTCTAAAGTATAGTTGGCCACCAGATGTCTCTTAGGTCCCTTCCACACAGCTGAATAAAATCCCACATTTTCTGGCAGTGTGGATTTATTTATTTATTTATTTATTTAATACACTTGTATACCGCTAATATCTCAGCCTGGATCGGCGACTCATTGCGGTTTACAGCAATTAAAAAACAGTCTCCAATTTAAAAACATATACACATACAGTACAGATTATTGGGCCACCAATAATAATCCCATGTATCTCGAATTAAAATCATAATCCAGAATTCGTTGTCCATATTTTCCTGTCCTTAGTCACCAAAATTCGATTGCCACAGATTAGCCGAATGCTTGTTTAAACAACCATGTTTTCAATCTCTTCCTAAACACCATCAGCGAAGAGGCTGATCGTACCTCTATAGGGAGGGTGTTCCAAAGCCGGGGGGCCACCACAGAGAAGGCCCTGTCTCTCGTTCCCGCCAGCCGCACTTCTGAAGCTGGAGGGATAGAGAGAAGGGACTCTCCAGAAGATCTTAGGGTCCTGGTGGGCTGATAGGCTGAGATACGTTCGGATAGATAAGTTGGGCCAGAACCGTTTAGGGTTTTAAAGGCCAACGCCAGCACTTTGAATTGAGCCCGGTAGCATATCGGCAGCCAGTGGAGCTGGTTCAGCAGAGGAGTTGTATGCTCCCTGCGCCCCGCTCCTGTTAAAATCATGGCTGCCGCCCGTTGGACTAGTTGGAGCTTCCGGACTGTCTTCAAAGGCAACCCCACGTAGAGAGCGTTGCAGTAATCAAGGCGGGATGTAACCAGAGCGTGGACTACCGTGGCTAAGTCAGACTTCCCAAGGTACGGTCGCAGTTGGCGCACAAGTTTTAACTGTGCGAAAGCTCCCCTGGTCACCGCCGAAACCTGGGGTTCCAGGCTCAGCGATGAGTCCAGGATCACCCCCAAACTGCGAACCTGCGTCTTCAGGGGGAGTGCGACCCCGTCTAACACAGGCTGTAATCCAGTACCCTGTTCGGCCTTACGACTAACCAGGAGTACCTCTGTCTTGTCTGGATTCAATTTCAATTTGTTCGCCCCCATCCAGACCGTCACAGCGGCCAAGCACCGGTTCAGGACCTCGACAGCGGCCAAGCACCGGTTCAGGACCTCGATTTAGATAACCCAGTTCGAAACAGATATTGTGGAATTTCCCTCTGATATTTTGGGTTATATGGATATGTGGAAAGGCCCTTATGCTCCATCTACACTGACATATAAAATCTGGTTTGAACTGGATTATATAATAATAATTAATAATAAAAACTTTATTTATAACTCTGGATTATATGGCAGTATAGAAGGGACCTTAGACAACTGTGATCTCCAATCTGGTCTAAATTCATGCATTTTTGTTGTTTTTTGTTGTTTTTTCATTCAGTCGCTGTTGACTCTTTGTGACCTCATGGACCAGCCCACGCCAGAGCTCCCTGTCAGCCGTCACCACCCCCAGCTTCTTCATAGTCAAGCCAGTCACTTCAAGGTTACCATCCATCCACCTTGCCCTTGGTCGGCCCCTCTTCCTTTTTCCTTCAATTTTCCCCGGCATCATTATCTTCTCCAAGCTTTCCTGTTCCTCTCATTATGTGGCAAAAGTACTAAAGTACAAAAGTACATCTTTGCCTCTAATATCCTTCCCTCCAGTGAGCAGTCGGGCATTATTTCGTGGAGTATGGACTGATTTGATCTTCTTCTGGTCCAAGGCATTCTTAGAATCTGTGTTAATATTAAATCAAGGAAATGTCACTGTTCAACACATAAGGTTGGGTGATAAATTCAATAGGTTTGCTTTTTTAATATGAGCATCATGTAGTTTCAAGCAAAGAGCTGAAGTCTGTTTGCTAACTTGAAATGTTATTTTGTGGGCATTTGAAATGCAATTTGTGCAAAATATATCATTTTAAAATACATTCACTTAAAATGCAAATGGACTATGGTGGCATTTCTCAACCTGGGAGGGGTCGTGAAGGGGGTGTCAGAGGGGTCGCCAAACCATCAAAAAACACCGTATTTTCTGTTGGTCATTGGGATTCAGTCTATGAACCTTGACCAATCATTTCTGAAAAAATTGACTGTGAGTACAGCTGGGTTTTTTTTCTATCCGTACTTTGTTGTTGTTTTGTTGTGTGTCCAAGGTTTTTTTTTGCAATTTACAAAACCCGTAAGGTAAATCTATCACTGGGTTTTCTGAGGCTATGATCTGCCCAAGGTCACTCAGTGGGTTTGTATGGCTTTGCGGGATTTAAACTTTGTTTTTCAGGGTCATTGTTCAAAGTTCAAACCACTTGCCCAGCTGACATCACATGCACTTTAATACAGCAGTGTGCTTCCTCAGATCTTGAGTTATTGCATTGATTGCAAGACTCCTGAGGGCCTCTAGTGGTCTCATATCTAATGCTTGTATTCTACAAGAAACGGTTCAATTCTACGAGGAATGAATGAAAACTAATGCCTCTACTTTTGTAACTCCCCAACAGATGGCAATACTGGTATGCGGAAGGTACTGGCTTGTAGTAGACTCTCCTCTACAGTTCCATTTTGGCAGGAAGGCTTAGCAATCAACGGTTGTGTTGTTAAAGTGTGAAGTATGGAACTCTGAGCAGACAGTCGGTCAATGCGACTTAAGCAACGTGCAGTCATTGAATTCTTGACAGCAGAAGCTGTCACTCCAAAGGAGATTCATCAGAGAATGCAAGCTGTTTATGGTGACTGTGTTGATGTCAGTACTGTGCGTCGTTGGGCGAGTAAGTTTAAAGATGTTGAGGTGGGAACATCTGATTTGCGTGACAAACAAAGAGTTGGATGTCTCATGTGACAGCAACCACCGAGTTTCACAAGCAAATGGTTGACAGATTGATTCAGGATGATTGTTGTATAACTCAGGACGAAATTTCAAGCATAATCGGCCTTTCACAAGAACGTGTGGGTCACATTATTGCTTTGCTTGGCTATTGGAAGATCTGTGCACGATGGGTTGGGGAAACAGAGTGTTCGACTTCTTCCGTGACAGCTTCAGAAAACTTGTTCATTGTTGGCAGAAATTGATCCAATTGTCTGATGATTATGTGGAAAAGTGAATAGTGGTAGTTAAAGAGCACATTCTAAGGATTATTTCTGCGTTTGATTTATTAAAATATTCCCATCCAAACCCAAGTAACGAAAGTGAAGACATTACTTTTCATTCAACCCTCGTACGTATCTTAGGGTCCTTGCACACAGTCATATAACCCAGAATATCAAGGTAGAAAATCCCACAATACCTGCTTAGAACTGGGTTATATGAATCCACACTGCCATATATTCCAGTTCAAAGGAGATAATGTGGAATTTTTTCCTGCTATGTAGAAGGGGCCTTAGGCTGGATCTACACTGCCCTATATCCCAGGATTTGATTCCAGATTGTCTGTTTATCCCAGATTATCTGGAGATATAGACTCATATAACCCAGTTTAAAGCAGATAACCTAGGATATAGTGCAGTGTAGATCCAGCCTCAGGTCCTTTTTACACTGTCCTTATATCCCAGGATCTGATCCCAGGGATATCTGCTAATCCCAGATTATATGGCAGTCGAGACCCATAATCCAGTGCTAAGCAGATAGCCTGGAATCAGATCCTGGGGGCCCTTCCACACAGCCCTATATCCCAGAATACCAAGGCAGGAAATCCCACATTATCTGAGTGTTAACTCAGATAAAAGTTCAAAGCGGATATTGTGAGATTTTCTGCCTTGATATTCTGGGACATAGGGCTGTGTGGAAAGAAAAGCAATAGAACAGTGTAGAAGGAGCTTTAGGGTTCATCCATTGTAGAATGTGGTGTGAGATCACTTTAACAGATCCTGGGAGTTGGCTGAGACATCAGAACTCTGGAAGAAAAAGCTGAAGACCTAATAAAACTATAAATCCTAGCATTGAGCCAGGGCAGTTAAAGTGGTGTCAAATGGTAGGAATTGTGGAAGTCGGAAGTCCAAAACATTTGGAGGGCCTAAGTTTGCTCAGGCCTGCTCTATTTACTTACTTAGGCGATCCCTCGTTGTCCGAGTAGGATTGTCTTCCAAGATCGGTGTACTGGCGGCGGGTCCGTAGGTGACCGTGGAGCCCTCTTCTTGATCTGCATGTTCTCCCACAATGAGGGCATTGGTTTCCAGGTGGAAGGCGGTCCCGGTCGGGGTTGACTTGAAGCGCCTTACTCTTGGCAAGTCTCTCTTTCGCCCTCCATTCGTGCCTCTTCAAATTCTGCAGCACTGTTGGTCACAGCTGACCTCCAGTTGGAGCGGTCAAGGGCCAGGGCTTCTCAGTTCTCAGTGTCTATGCCAGAGTTTTTAAGGTTGGCTTTGAGCCCATCTTTAAATCTCTTTTCCTGTCCACCAACATTCCGTTTTCCGTTCTTGATTTTGGAGTAGAGCAGCTGCTTTGGGAGACGGTGGTCGGGCATCCGGACAACGTGGCTGGTCCAGTGGAGGTGATGGCGGAGGATCATCGCTTCAGTGCTGGTGGTCTTTACTTCTTCTAGCACATTGACATTTGTCCACTTGTCTTCCCAAGAGATTTGCAGGATTTTTTGGAGGCAACACTGATGGAATCATTCCAGGAGTTGCATGTGACATCTGTAGACTGTCCATGTCTCGCAGGCGTATAGCAAGGTTGGGAAGATAATAGCTTTATAAACAAGCACCTTGGTATCCCTACGAATGTTCTGGTCCTCAAACACTCTGTGCTTCATTCAGAAAAATGCTGCACTCGCAGAGCCCAGGTGATGTTGTATTTCAGTGTGAATGTTGACTTTTGTGGAAAGGTGGCTGCCAAGGTAGTGGAAATGGTCATCATTTTCTAATGTTACACCATTAAGCTGTATTTCTGGCATTAGAGAGGGATTGGCTGGTGACTGCTGGAACAGCACTTTGGTTTTCTCGAATTTCAATGACAGGCCGAGCTTCTCGTATGCTTCTGCGAAGGTGTTTAGAGTGGCTTGTAGGTCTTCTTCTGAATACACACAGACGACATTGTCATCAGCATACTGGAGTTCTATAACAGATGTCGTTGTAACCTTGGTTTTGGCTTTCAGTCTGCTGAGGTTAAACAGCTTGCCATCTGTCCTGCTGTAGAGGGAGCCTGTCTCTCAAGGCTGCCCACAAGTAAAATGGCTGCCGCAGGCGAGAAGGGAAGAAGCCTCGGTATATAGGCGCCGCCAATGCTGAGAAATAGCTTGCCCTCACCCAAGATGGCTGCGCAGGCGACCGTGAAGGGGGAGGAGCCATAGATCAGGTGGCTCTGTTTGGAAGGCAGGGAAGGTCCCAGAGAGGCAGTGCTCCATTTCTATGGGACCGAGGGCGGCGGCGGGCGTGCGGCCGGGGCTGGAGGAGGCCTGCGATGCCCCTGGGCGAGTACGCCTTCCTCAGGGCCGCCGGGAAGGGCAGCTACGGCGAAGTCAGCCTCGTCAGGCACCGCAGGGACCACAAGCAGGTCGCCAGGCCTCTCTCTTGTCTTCTGCTGTAGGAGGGAAGCCTCACCTATCGTAGTCTCGTCGCGCTCCGGCTTTCCTTTACGGCAGGCATGGGCCTACTTCGGCCCTCCAGAGGTTTTGGACTCCAACTCCCCTGAAGGGCCGAAGCTGGCCCATGCCTGCTCTATACTGATGGCAGAAAACCCTATCACATGATATCACATGGTATTGGGTAACTCCAACAGTATAATTTGGGGACCAAATTGCAGTATAATATCTTAATCCTTAACCCAGAAGCTGTTCTGAGTTCTGAAATCCCAGGGCCCCTCCACACAGCCCTATATCCCAGAATATCAAGGCAGGTAATCCCACATTATCTGAGTGTGGACTGGGGGCCCTTCCATTTATTTATTTATTTATTTCCGTCACTTTTACCCCGCCCTTCTCACCCCCAAGGGGGGACTCAGGGTGGCTTACAGAAAAAGGCACAATTCGATGCCTTGTCACATATACATACATATATAAAAGCAATTAAGCAATTACAAATTAAAAATTAAATCATCAATACACAACAACACCATAAACACAGTAGTAGGCTAATCCTGAGCTCAGCGTTCGGAGTTCCGTAGATCCCTTCCGTCTCGTCAAGTTCCAGCTCGTCATCAAGTCTTTCTTTAGCTGCCAGAATGTCCAAATGCCTGGTTCCACATCCAGGTCTTCAACCTTTTCCTAAATGAAAGAAGGGACGTTGCCGATCTAATCTCCCCAGGGTGTGAGTTCCACAGGCAGGGGGCCACCACCGAGAAGGCCCTGCTCCTAGTCCCCGCCAATCTCACTTGTGATAGAGGCGGAGTCGAGAGCAGGGCCTCCCCAGAGGATCTTAGGTTCCGAGGTGGGACGTAGAGGGAGATCCGTTCGGATAGATACACTGGGCCGGAACCGTTTAGGGTTTTGTAGGTCAAAACCAGCACTTTGAATTGTGCTCGGAATTGGATCGGCAGCCAGTGGAGCTGACACAACAGGGGGGTGGTCCATACAACCCTCCTTAGGCGATCCCTCGTTGGACGAGTAAGATGGTCTTCCATTATGCGTTTCCTTGTGGGTTCGTAGGTGGCTGTGGAGCCCTATTCTTGACCCGCATCTTCTCCTACAGTGTGGGCACTGGTTTCCAGGTGGAAGGTGGTCCCTGTCAGGGTTGGCTTGACGCGCCTTCCTCCTGGCACGTTTCTCTCTTTCACCCTCCACTCATGCCTCCTCGAATTCTGCAGCACTGCTGGTCACAGCTGACCTCCAGCTGGAGCGCTCAAGGGCCAGGGCTTCTCAGTTCTCAGTGTCTATGCCAGAGATTTTAAGGTTGGCTTTGAGCCCATCTTTAAATCTCTTTTCCTACCCACCAACGTTCCGTTTTCCGTTCTTAAGTTCAGAGTAGAGCAACTGCTTTGGGAGACGGTGGTCAGGCATCCGGACAACGTGGCCAGCCCAGTGGAGTTGATGGCGGAGGATCATCGCTTCAATGCTGGTGGTCTTTGCTTCTTCCAGCACACTGACGTTTGTCCGCTTGTCTTCCCAAGAGATTTGCAGGATTTTCCGGAGGCAGCGCTGATGGAATCGTTCCAGGAGTTGCATGTGACGTCTGTAGACAGTCCACGTTTCGCAGGCATATAGCAGGGTTGGGAGGACAATAGCTTTATAGACAAGCACCTTGGTATCCCTACGGATGTTCCAGTCCTCAAACACTCTCTGCTTCATTTGGAAAAATGCTGCACGCAGAGCTCAGGCGGTGTTGTATTTCGGTGTCGATGTTGACTTTGGTGGAGAGGTGGCTGCCAAGGTAGCGGAAATGGTCAACATTTTCCCAGAACATCAAGGCAGAAAATCCCACAATATCTGCTTTGAACTGGGTTATCTGCGTCCACATTCAGATAATGTGGGATTTCTGCCTTGATATTCTGGTATATAGGGCTGTGTGGAAGGGTCCCTAGACACACTTTCCTAGGCCTAAACTCTCAGGCATGCATAAGATTGTGCTGTATTATTTATTATTACAGGCAGTCCCCAAGTTACAAATAAGATAGATTGTGTGGGTTTGTTTTTAAGTTGAATTTGTATGTAAGTCGGAACAGGTACTTTTAAAAAGTGTAAAAAATGACTTTGAATTTATTTGGAGACTTTTTTTTTAGAAAGTATTGGAAGAAGAAGACGGGAATTTACCTCCAAATGAACAATTGAACTTCTGGTGGGACTTTAGAAGAGATGGCTCTGGAGAAGGGGAGCACAGGGGTGAATGTAAATAAAAGAGGGGAATGTATAGTGTATGTCTATATGACTGTATTTGTTCTCAAATAAAATTTATTTAAAAAATAAAAATTAAAAAGTGTAACCCCTACTAAAAGTTTTCTTCTGCACTTTAGCTTTTGGAGAGGAAGAAGATTAATTTAACACTGATTCCATTTACACTGAGGGCCCTTCCACATAACCCTATATCCCAGAATATCAAGATGGAAAATCCCACAATATCTGCTTTGAACTGGGTGATCCGAGGACCCTTCTACACAACCCTATATCCCAGAATATCAAGATGGAAAATCCCACAATATCTGCTTTGAACTGGGTGATCTGAGTCCACACTCAGATAATATGAGTTTTCCTGCCTTGATATTCTGGGATGTAGGGCTGCGTGGAAGGGCCCTGACAGAGCTGGTAATAATAATCTTAACTTATTAGAATAGCTGCATTTTTATATTCTTAGATTTTATACAGACTTTGTCTGTTTAATGTGTTACTTATGAGGCCTGACTGATTACATTCTCTTGCCATGGCTGTTTTATTTGTTCATTTAAATCTATTTATTTTAACTGTTAATTTAAAGTGTTTGTTTGTCCTATTTATGCTATTTTGCTTATTTTGATATTGCACATGGCATTGAATGTTTCCCATTTAGTTTCTAGAAACTGCCCTGAGTCCCCTGAAGGAGAGAAGGCGGGTCAGAAATAAAGTTTATTGTTGTTAATACACACACACACACCATAGCATAGGGAAGGGTTTACACCCCTGCAACGTTTCTTTTTCTATGTGTACCCCTGTTCAGAAGATTTCACCTCACTTTCTGTCCCTGGGATAATTGGATTTTGAAAAATGCAGCTTGCTATGGAAACATTACTAACAAAACTTAAGTGGAACACATTTTCCCCATGATAACTCTTTCAGGAGTGAATTTTCCTTCATAGGCATAGATTTTTCATACTTCCTGTTGTCTCAACCTTAACTATGAGGAGACTCAAAGCAACTACCACTAAAAACTATCACAATGTATGAATTAAAACTTAATACAGATAAACATTAAAATAGAATTAAACATAGAAATATTAAAAACACATGGTTAAAAGCAATAAAACAATTAAACAAATCTATTAAAGTACATAAAGGTCATAACCAGCACTTTGAATTCTGACCAGAAACAGACTGGCAGCCAGAGAAGCTGTTGCAGCAGGCTACATAGGTTGTATTGAAATCAGATGAACTATAATTAATCACAACTAACTTAGACTGTGTTATCTGTGATGTGATATGAATCTAAAATTCTGTAGATTGAGGCCAGAATGAAGACAAATATTTCATTGGAATTACAGTGGGCTCTTGGTATCTGCTTGGATTTGGTTCCAGGACCACCACCACCCTCTATTGATACCAAATTCATACTATATATAATGGCATAGAAAATGGCTTCTATTACATAAGGTGGCAAAATCAAAGATTGGTGGTTTTAAAAATATATATTTTCAAGCTGTGGATATTGAATCCATGGATATAGAGGGCCAACTGTAATTGCACTGTCGCAGAATAACCATGTGTCCTGATTTTTAGATTTCTTGAATATCACTATTTGCTTACAGAGCTTTCCCCTAATATCTCTCCAGTATGTTATCAAAAAGCTGAATCTTAAACATGCATCAAGGCGTGAGAGAAAAGCAGCAGAACAAGAGGCCCAGTTGCTGTCTCAGCTGAAGCATCCTAATATAGTCACTTACAGAGAGTCCTGGGAAGGTGAAGATGGTTTCCTGTACATTGTCATGGGCTTCTGTGAAGGAGGAGACCTGTATCACAAGCTGAAAGAACAGAAGGGACAACTTTTGCCAGAAAGTCAAGTGGTGGAGTGGTTTGTTCAGATTGCTATGGCATTGCAGGTAGCATACCTTGCATCTTCTACTTTAAAATGCCCTGTGTCTTTGAATTAAAATCATTTACTAGAATTATGGCATGATGGAAACAATTTTAGATTGTAATCCTAGCAATTTTGATGCTTTATCGTCCTGATATTATAATCTAGCAGAGAAATGTATGACTTTCCACAAGATCAACAACATGGATAATGGGTATAGTCTGTTCTCTTGAACAAATGTCTGTCCAATGCCTTTAAATTGTTCTGATCCATTTAGACAGATTCATTTGATGTGTTCTATCCTTCCCTTAAATGCAATATGCAGTAATAATGTGCATAGTGTTGAATATTGTCAACATAGTGACTATTACTTTGTGAAATATCTGTTTTGGTGATGTGCAGTTGTGCATGATGATGATTTCTTCATTATCCCATATAATTAAATGAGGGGGAAAAATTTTTTTACGTAAGCAATAATTCTGTGAGATAGAGATTTGTAAATGCTATTATCTTCTTTTTCAGTATTTGCATGAAAAGCATATTCTGCACAGAGATCTCAAAACTCAGAATGTTTTCCTGACACGTTCAAATATAATCAAAGTGGGAGATCTGGGAATAGCTAGAGTACTGGAGAATCAGTATGATATGGCTAGTACTCTGATTGGCACTCCATACTATATGAGCCCTGAGTTGTTCTCTAACAAGCCTTACAATTACAAGGTAAAGTATTCTTTATATACTATCCAGTCTCAAAGTGTGTGCCTATCTGTATGTAATCAAAATAATATGTAATAACAACAGAGGTTCTCCTATGCTTGGGGAAACTTCCAAGGACCAGAATCTTGTAGTTTTAGCTGCAGACGCTGCCATGACTTTTCTGTGGTTTTTCAAATCATATTTTAAAATGTTTGCTTTGCTTTTGTTTTTACAGTCTGATGTTTGGGCTTTGGGCTGCTGTGCCTATGAATTGGTCACATTGAAGCACGCTTTTAATGCTAAAGACATGAATTCCTTAGTTTATCGAATTATTGAAGGGAAGGTAAATTTTCTATTTAATTTTTGCTTGGCAAATTTTGGGCCCTAATCCAAACTTCTTAGGGACTGAGAACACATGTTGAGCTTCACATGTACAACCACCAACTTCTTTTCTTCTCTGTTAGACAATTTTCTGTTGTCTAACAGTGTGCTGCTAGAATGTACATCTGTAACTCCTGGCCACAGCCCTGAGATTCACATCTCTTCCTGGGTTTTCTGTGGAGCTAGAGTATTATGGGAGACTGCTAAATTTATTGTTAATTTTTCAAAATTAAATATGATCAAGGTTGCTGTAATAAAACATTACCACATTCCAAAGAACAATACTGATCAAGTCATCTTCCTCATTGAAGTTGATAAAGAGTAGCTTTACATTGAAATGATGTCCAGTCTAATGACTGTGTAGTAGGTGAGGGAAATGCTTCAGGCTGTATCAGCTAGTTTGCTACATCTGTCACATACAGGCTGAATGGCATGCTCATATGAGGTCCTGAACATATAAAGTCCAATCTGCACAAGATAATCTGCCTGGTTCAGTTCTTCAGTGTCCAGATGGCAGTCTTCACACCACCATGCCTACGATCTTATATGTTTTTCAACATGTGTGTTGGGGTGCACTGATGGAGCACTAACTGCATTTGAAGGGAATATATTTGAAGAGGAAAGGATCATGTTAACAAATAAAAAAGACTAAAGTGTTGAGATCACAAATTTGATATGGACCACATGAGACAAATGAGGACTTGAACCTAGATCTCTTAAATTCTGATCTAATCAATATGCCAGAGTCAGATGTGTGCTGTATACAGTTCTAGCAATGCTTCTTGAGCTTTTCTGAATCTGACCACCCACCCCGAAGAAATAGTTCCTTCAGAAAGGGAAACACAAGGCTTTCTGTGAGCATAAATAATACTATCATAAATGGGCACTTAAATTCCAATTTTAGATCCATTTTTTTTTCTTTTAACAGCTTCCCCCAATGCCAAAAGATTACAGCATTCAGTTGAAAGAGCTCATAAGAACAATGCTTAGTAAAAAGCCAGAGGAGAGACCCAGTGTGAGAAGCATACTGAGGCAACCATACATCAAGCACCAGATTTCTCTGTTTTTGGAAGCTACAAAGGCGTAAGACACATTTAAATGAGCAATAATAATTTATACAGTCTTGATTGTCATTTTGGTGTATTTAACTTCATAGAGTTTCATCAGCCATTATAACGTCCAGTTGTTCATATTGATGATTTCATTGTTTTCTCCTAGAAAATTGATTCTCTAGAAAATGGAGAGTGGCTTTTTGGTATTTAAAAAAGAAGACAAAAATAGATTTTGAAATAGCTGAATGGGAGATTTATTGTTGTAATGACAAGGACAGATTTTTATTAGATAGTAGTTCCATATGGAGCGGAGTTGTAAGTAATGGGTGAGAAAGGGGAGGTGGTGGGATAGGGGAAATAATACTTGTATTTTGATTGTAGATTTTTGAAGATTTTATGTTCCTTTTTCTTTATATATAGCAATAAAAATCTGTACAAAAAAGTTGAGGAGCTAAGATAATCTAATTTTAACAGAAAACAATAGTTCCCAAAAACCTCTTAATCTTTAAACATCTCAATGTTGCTTTCATCCTGAAGGAAAACATCAAAGAATCATAAGAAAATATCTCAACAGAATCCTCAGGCTTCTGCAGTGAAAGATGAATTGCAAATTGGAAATAAAATAGCCGAGAATCTTCCCATTGATCCTTCCAGAAAAGCTAAAGAGGTAATTTATATTTTATCTCTGTAGTCAGAATATAAGTGACCATAAAGTATCCAGTACAACCCCTATATCCATGGGGAATACATTCCTGGATTTTGCAAGTATTTGTGAGATTGCAAATAATAGCAAACCCCAGGCCCAGTGTGAAAATGAGAAAAGGAGAGAGGCAGGACCATTGCCCAGTTCCTCCAATCTATCTTCGCTCCCTCTCCGTTTTGCCAGTCATGAGACAAAGAGTCATGGGACATTGTACAGCATCCAGTTGAGTAGCAGCATCATTCTTGACCACACTGGGCTTGTTGCCCTCTCTAGTTCGTGTTTGGTGGTTAAGAAAGAAATCAGACACTCCTTTCTTGGGTGAGTAAGAGAAGCATGGGAGAGGGGCACAAAACTGTGGTGGCGGCACCATGGGAAACTTCCTTGGGCAGGAGAAGCACATGGAACCTGGCTGCATGAAGCAATGCACCTCTTGGTGGTGAGTGTTCTAATGTGTGAGAACAAAAAGAAGGATGGCTGGTCAGTCAGCTGCTTGTTTGGTCAATATTCCCAACATGATTGGAGGCATGAGGAGCAGAGATCGAGTTGTCAGCCTGTCTTCCATTTGTTCTCACACATAAGAATGTGGTACACATGATCAAGAGCTTCCTACAGCTGGGTGTTCAATGTTTCCCTTTGTTGAGAAGACAGAAAAACAGTCCACCCTTTCCTATGTTATCCAATTATATATATATATATATATATATATATATATATAGAGAGAGAGAGAGAGAGAGAGAGAGAGAGAGAGAGAGAGAGAGAGAAGCCAATACAATCAATGAAAAAAAATTCAATACTCATTACTAAATCAGGAGGGAGGCGGTGGGGCAGCGGTGAATTATTTCTAAAGTGTTTCTAAAATACCGTAAGTGGTCCATATTGTAACTATAACGATATAATGAAAAGTTTTTATGAACATTTTAAAAAATACAATAGTTGTCTCCTTGAATTTCTGTTTTCAATAATACAACATAACCAGGTCACCATTCTCCCCCAAGTTTCAGAAAGATTTGCACATCCACTGATTTTTAGGGAATGTTAACCAACATAAACTTACAGGTACTATTTCACTGAAAGACCCCAGGGGCCATCCAATCCAACACCCTTCTACTATGCAGGAAAAGCACAGTCAAAGCACTCTCAACAGATGCCCATCCAGCTTTTGAAATAATAATAATAATAATAATAATAATAATAATAATAATAGGAAACCTACCAGGTAAACTTTGTTGAGTTACTGCCTCTCAACCATGCCTACCTCACAGGGTTGATTCAATTCCCAACAGTCCTCTTTTATCTCAAAATCCCTGTAGAGCAGTGATTCACAACCTGTTTTTGACCAGGGACCACTTGACCAGGGATCACTCTCCAACATTAGTACCAAAAGGGTTATGAATCAGTTTTTGGTCAACTTTAGATTTGGTTTGGTTATTTGGTGTGCTAATTCAGAAAATCACATTGGCTAGATCACATCAGCTCTAGTTTCTGATACAAACATATGCCATCCAGTAGTCGCCATCTGCTCACCCACAGAAAACCATATCTAATAATCTAGAACTGAGGTGGTAGCAGTAATCTTTCATGGGTAGTCAGCCTCTCCCCTCCTGACATCCCTGTTGCCTCGGCACTATAAAAGGGTTTCCTGAGACCAGTCGTTCTCATTGCCGTGTGGTTTTGTGGCAACAGTGTAGCAATGGTGAGGCCGTGGACCATATTTTCATTTTTGCGGACCACTGCTGGCCCACAGATCACAGGTTGGGAACCACTGCTTTAGAGAATGAACACCAAAACTCTCGAGAAATTTTGGGAAATGTAGTTTGGGAAGGCGAGGACACCTGTGCCAGCGAATTTAAAAAGCCCCGCCCTAAACTACATTTCTCAGAATTATCCTCACTTCCTGCATTAAAGCCTCGTGAGTGTGGTTTTTGCCTCTCTCTCTGGGCTGGTCATGTGCCGGAGGGGCTTCTTCCTTGCCCAGCAATCCAGCCAGGCATCCATCTATCCCTCCCTCCCCACCCTACATTCTGGCCTCACCATCCTCATCACGGCCTTTTGGGGGAAGCAAACCCAGCCCTTTTAGGGGAGAAGCAGCACTTGCAACAAAGACCTGGAGCCACTTATGAGACTTACATGACTCTTCTAAAATGTCATGTTTTTAATCTTTAGGGGTTTTTTTGCATGCGTCCCTTGCGTTTCTCAATATCACGCATTAGTACGAATTTTATGAAATAGATATGACAACCAAGGCACAAACTAAGTATTGCACAGACCGTGTGTGTGTGTGTGTGTGTGTGTGTGTGTGTATATATATATATATATTGGCTGTACCTGTTTCAACTTACAAACAAATGCAGCAAATCTGCAGAATCTATCTTGTTTGTAATTGTGGGACTGCCTGTGTATTTCAGTTCTCCAAAAAAAAAAAAAAAAAAGATAGGAAAGGAGAGTGGCCTGCCTTTCTTTTTCCAGTTTGGGCAAGGAAGTAATAATGTGGTGGGAGCTTTTTGTTTTGCTGGGTTCCTATTCCAGTATTTATCTGTGTACAAGTCGACCCAGGTTTTCAGGGGAGCTTTTTTGTCAATGTATGGCATATTTGGTTGATATAAGATATCTTGTGCTTACGTTGAAAATAAAGTTGTTGATGGAATCATTGGACTAGTTCTTGTGTATGTGTTTTCTACATTACAGAATGAAGAGAAACATGTAATCAATAATAAAACCTTTGAAGTTTCTTCTTCAGAAAAACTGGCTCCTGAACCTGAAAAAAGTGGAAGCAAAAATGGTTTGAACAATACAGATGTATCTATAGCAACCATGAGCAAAGTGGACATAATTATAATTCCAGTGGAAAAAAAGAACTGTAAAAGCGAACATTCAATGGAGGAGAAAGAATCCAGCCATTCAAACCCTTCCGCTAAAACAGAGTGTGAAACTGCAATAACTGATCCACACTCAAAGGAAGAACAGTTGCAGAAGGACAGAAAGCCGTGTCTTACATTGGAAAATGTAGGCAACAAGGAAACGGTGGATGTTGTCACAGATGAGGAAGATGACACTGTGAAACTTCTGCAGCCTGTTTCCAAAGCCCAAAACACAAATGATGGAGTAAATATTTTCTTTTTATATATATAGAGGAAAAGTGGTGCTGAGTTTATGAAAAGAGAACTGATCTAGCACTTAGTGGCATTGAGCTTGTTCCATAAACTGATCATAGAACTTGCTACCTTGTGTCATCTTAGTTGCCATTGCCAAGCTAATTATATCCTTTATCTCCTGTCCCTGATAAAGTGGACTGCTTCATATCTCTCCCACAACACAATACATGGGTTGAGTGTGAGGGAGGTGAGCATGAAATGACACTTGGTCATGAATTCATTCTAGATTACTTTTATAATGATCATGCTCTTGATATAGCAGAATTGATAGATGAGTCTTCATTTCCTAATAGACCAGGTTGATATAGTTAGAAGCAGCCTATCCAGAAATATGTTGTTGGAAGAATAACTTAGATCTTTACACCATGGTTTGGTTTCCATATAAGGTTGTGGAAGGAGCAAAATCTTGGATAGTTGTTATTATTATTATTATTATTATTATTATTATTATTATTATTATTATTTAGAGTTCAAACATTGTGGCTTTTGAATTTTTTGTCCCTTGCATCCTTTTTTTGTAGACTCCATTAAGGCATACATTCTGCATATAAAATATAAGAGGACCAGAGAGTTTTCCTAAGTTTTTACGTGTGGTCTTTTCCCCGACTCCTCATTCTCTTTCCAAACTACCTGATACCCTTTTTGGGAATTTCAAGACAATGTTAAAATAAATTTATTAATTTTAACATGATTATAATGCGCCATCAAATTTTGAAATTTGCTTTGTGATCAAGTTTGAAGGCTTGATTGATATTGGGTCCATACAAAGAAACTTTCAATATCTATTCTCTCTTCCCCCTAGACAAGCACTGTGGTACACTACTTCTTTCATAAATGGCATATGTTTGGGCCATTGATAAATTCGGGGTTTGGGAAATAATGCAGCTGGCAATGCCTATGTGCTGTTATGATTTGCCTTAATTTTCAATATATCAGCTCCAGACCAACATACAGTAAATGATTCATTCCTAGATTCCACACTCAGATTCAGGATATCTGAAGGACTGTATTCCTCCTGATGGTTTTGCTAATGTTTTGAATTCTTCTGGGGAGACCTTTGTCTCTGCCCCATCCACCACCCTCACAGGTATACATCTGTTGAAACACAAGAAAGGGCCTTCTCAGTGGCTGCTCCTAGGCTCTGTAAATCTGTTCCTAAACAGGCTAAACTGGTGCCCTTTCTGCTACTCTTATGGAGGCAGATGAACACCTTTTTATTTGAGCAGGCTGATACGTCAAGGGGAAAAAGCCTTTCAGAATATTTATCTTATGTATATGTTTACAGATTTGTCCAAGGTGGAATGGATTGCCAGATTGGACATGGCCACTTTCCTCAAGCAGAGCTCCTCTGTTTATTGTCAAAAGCTTTCATGGCCAGAATCACTGGGTTGTTGTGTGTTTTCCGGGCTGTATGGCCATGTTTCAGAAAGATTATCTCCTGACGTTTCGCCTGCATCTATGGCAGGCATCCTCAGAGGTTGTGAGGTCTGTTGGAAACTAGGAAGATGGGGTTTATATATATGTGGAATGTCCAGGGTGGGAGAAAGAACTCTTGTCTGTTGGAGGTAGGTGTGCATTTTTCCATTGGCCACCTTGATTAGCATTTAATGACCTGGCAGTTTCAGGTGTGGCTTCTTACTGCCGGAGGTGGGGGGAATCCTTTATTGACAGGTGATTAGCTGTCCCTGATTGTTTCTTATCTGGAGTTCTCCTGGTAGCCAGATTTTGTTCATTTTCATGGTTTATTCCTTTCTGTCGAAATTGTCCACATTCTTGTGGATTTCAATGGCTTCTCTGTGTAGTCTGAAATGGTAGTTATTAAATACTGGACCACTCCATATTGTTGGCAGAGTTATTTACAAAACCTTCCTATAAAATAGTAGTACTTATTAGGCTTGCCCTGCTTAGTTTGCAAGATCAAGTGAGATTGGGTGTATTCACATACTTATAGTAAATATAATCCAAAAATGTAAAAATGGTTCTGGCTAGGGAGAGTTAATTATTTAATATCTGGAGGAACAGTTTTACAATTTCAGTTACTAAATCTTGAACTAGAAACATACTTGCACCTAAAAACGTAAAGGGGGACACAAATGTATTCTTGAGATTCGTTAATTGTGGTATTTTAAGTTTTCTTTTGGTTACAGTAGTTCTAGCAATTGTTTTCTTATATACCTGCTGTCCAAAAATCATAGAATCATGGAGTTGGAAGAGACCTTGTGGGCCATCCAGGCCAACCCCCTGCCAAAATACTTACTTGCCTCAGTAATTATGTAATGTTTTTGGCTATAATCTACAGAGCTATTAAATGCTATCTAGAGGAATATACATTCCCTAATTTAGTCTCATTTTTAATGTTAAGTAACAAATTATCTATGAAAGCTGCTTTTGTTAGCCAAATGTTTTTCCTACATTTTACAAAAATTAGCTAATTTAATACATTTAATTTAAAACTATAGTGATATAAATCATATAGGGGTTAATCATGTCTTTATACATTGTATATAATACTTACATTGGTGGTGATGTGTGTGTGTATGTGTGTGTATATATATATATACTGTATGGTTTGTGTAGCATTATGAATTGTTGCATAGGTGACATGGCCATTTCGTGGCCTATAAATCAGAAAATTCTTTGTTCAAATCTTGGGCGCTATAAGTAGTTGAGAGGAACTTCAGATTTTTTTTACATTGTATTTTGAAAGAGTTTCAAGTTGAACATGATTTTGTTATAGGCTGTTGACTGCATAATGCATAGTCTTGTTTATGACAATGATAAGGAGTGATCATTACGAACATTTGATAATGTATAAATTCATAGAATCGTATAGAATAGACTACAGATTTAAACATAGCTATTGTGTCTTAACCTTTTCTTCTCCAAGCTAAACATACCCAGCTCCCTGAACCACTCCTTCCAGGGTAGAATCTTTCTTGATGTGGAATCTGGAAGCCGTACATTTAGTCTGGAAGCATTGTATCCAAACACTGTGTTGTATTTATTCTAGGATGAAAGATCCTGTGAAAATCCAGACAAAGCTCAAGATATAATTCAGAAGGAAAGCACTCCTTGTTTTCAACCTCAAGGATCAGTTCATGAACCTTCCCTGTCTCGGCAGGAATGGCAGAAAAAAAGAGAGCAGTTCGAGGCCTGTTCAGATAATGTAAAAATATTTTAATATTTTTCTTTTATTTGCAGTAACTGCATATATGGTATTTTACACCTGGTTTCATCTTGTGTTTTAAAAGCGTGTACATGTTGCTCCAAATATGTTGCTCTTTCAAAGGAAAAAAGAGATGTTATAGTAAAGTTGCCTAAACACTTGGTTGATTTGCATTGATAATAGAAGATGATTCTTAATGTATTTCTTATAATATATTCAACATGGAGCTCAAATAGCTCTTTATTTGTGTAACAATAGGGACTAAGAAATCATCTAGCATTGAAGGAAACTTAAAGGTAGCTTTTTGACAGAAGAAGCAATCTTTTAACAAAAGTTTGATTTCTTCCTTTAAGAATCCTCGAAGACTGCCTTCTCCTCCTAAGGTGAATTCAAAGAAAAGAGAAAACAATGCAGACAAGCAGAATGCTTCAGTTGCAAGACCTATAAACAGATCAAAAAGCATTGATGGAGCAGTTGCTACTAAGGTTTGTTCTGGACATCTTTAGAGTTTAATCATCTGTTCTGCTTCTTTGAAGTTTCTTGATTGCTTGACTTGTGTTAGCAAAGCTTTGTAGATTTGCTTATTACGGGTTTGGCTTTATTTTTTCAGTTGATATCTGGTAGTGGTATGCATTGTGAGCCTTTTTGCTTGTCAGCAGAAAGAAAAGTAGTGAGTTATTAAGAATCTTGGAAAGGTTTTAGTTTTGGTCATGTGCCCTTGTATAAAGTACCTTCTGGCTAAATATGACAGATTATAAAGCCACAGGCTTTATTGCTGATATTGTCTCGGAACACCTTCCCTAAAGAAATAAAAACAACTCCCACCTTCCTCTCCTTTGTGAGTCTTCTAAAAACGCACCTATGCACTTTAGCGTATGGAGAGGAGGAGGACTAGGACACTTACAATACTGGCTAATAGGCCTGGGTAACAACGCAAAAATTTGTTTCTAAAATCGATTTGTAATTGGGGTGTTTTTTTGTTTCGATATTTAAAATAATTACAAAATTTTCCCTTAAAAAAAGTTCGGTATTTACGAAATTTCGTAAATATTTACGAATTGATTCGTTAAGATGGCGGACCCCCGCGCATGCGCAAAATCACTTCCGAAGCTTCGTTATTGGCGCGGGTCGATTCGTTAAGGTTATAACGAATCGATTCGTTAAAACCGGACGCGTTTGCGCATGCGCAAAAGCGACTTCCGAAACTTTGTTATTAAATACAAATCGATTCGCTATTAAAATAATAACGAATCGATTCGTTAAGACGGCGGACGCGATTGCGCAATGCTAAATGCTCTATAAACAAAATCATTTCATAAAATAAATCAAATAAAATAATCAAATAGAACAAGATATTAAGATATTAAATAAAAAAGTAATAAGATAAAGTATCCAAAACTGAGTCAATTTAATAATATAATACAATGAAATAAACAATAATATAATAATAAAATTTAAATAAATAAAATATAAATAATAATAATAATAATAATAATAATAAATAATAACAATAAATAATATAAAATTATATAATATATACAATATAAAATAAATATAATATAAATTATTATATATATTATATAAATGAAATAAATAATAATATAAATATTTAAATAAAATATAATTAAATTTATAAAATATTTATAAAATATAATTATAAATAATAAAAAAATAATATATAAAATTAAATTATAAATTATTAATATATAAAAATAATGTTATTATAAAAAATTACAAAGTAAATATAAGAAATAAATAAAGAAAAAGTAACAACAAGTAACAGAAATTGCACTTTGAAAAAACTCTGAAAATTATCTGGGAAGTATTGCATACATACTAATTTCTGTAGCAGTACCTGCATGTGCTGGCGACTTCAACTACGTCCAACTTCACAGTTGGGTGGTGTCTCCTCATGTGCGTACTTAGCCCTGTTGTGGCAAGATGCCTCGTATCTTTTCCTCTGCTGACGTTCGCACCGCAATGCCTGCAAACGGCCAAAGTGGCCTTGTCCTTATGGACGTCGTAATGATCCCATAGGAGCGATCTCGGCCTACCCCTACTAGGCACTTCAGATGTACTCATGCTCGTGTTTGGACTGTCGGTGTTTGTGGAAGGGAGTATAATCGTTGGTTGTTTCTGTAGCTCGCCCTCCATCAGCATGCAGTCCTCTTGATCACTAATTCCTGTGGTGGAAGCACATTCCATCTTGTCTTCCTCCCATTCCTCCGACACGTCCGCCTCCTCGCCCTCCTCTTCATAACAAGTAATATCAGAGGTACTTGGAACGACATCAGGATCTGAACGTAGAGTCTTTCAAACTGATGAAGAAGAAGGTTCTGCCATCTCACAGCTGGTTGAAGCATCCGTGGGTGTATCAATAACCATCTCGTTGGATGAATGTTCCCTTCTTGTCAATGTGTTCATCTTCAGTCCCCTGCCTTTCTTCGGTATTCGCGATAGCACTTGGCCCTTGCGACTAGAAAAGCCGGGAAGGAAGCGTTTCATCACACTGGTTGGAACTACACAAATAATGAGCAAAAGGAGCGCACTGGTTGGAACTACACAAATGAGCGAGCACTGTATTATAGCACTTTGTGTTGGCAAAAGGAGAGCACTGGTTGGAACTACACAAATGAGCGAGCACTGTATTATAGCACTTTGTGTTGGCAAAAGGAGCACACTGGTTGGAACTACACAAATGATGAGCGAGCAGTGTATGTAGCACTTTGTGTTGGCAAAAGGAGCGCACTGGTTGGAACTACACAAATGAGCAAGCACTGTATTATAGCACTTTGTGTTGGCAAAAGGAGCGCACTGGTTGGAACTACACAAATGATGAGCAAGCACTGTATTATAGCACTTTGTGTTGGCAAAAGGAGCGCACTGGTTGGAACTACACAAATGAGCGAGCAGTGTATGTAGCACTTTGTGTTGGCAAAAGGAGCGCACTGGTTGGAACTACACAAATGAGCAAGCACTGTATTATAGCACTTTGTGTTGGCAAAAGGAGCGCACTGGTTGGAACTACACAAATGATGAGCAAGCACTGTATTATAGCACTTTCTGTTGGCAAAAGGAGCGCACTGGTTGGAACAACACAAATGAGCGAGCAGTGTATGTAGCACTTTGTGTTGGCAAAAGGAGCGCACTGGTTGGAACTACACAAATGACAAATGCACACACAGCCACCAAAGAGTCTTTTATTTTTTTAGAATATTTTTTGTATTTTTTTTAAGAATAAAAGAAAGGTATTTTTAGAAAATATTCAAAAATGGAAAATTAACCAAAAACTGGCCCTGATATGAAGCAAACACAGCCACGAGACAGGGCAAACGAGAGCACACACCAACAGAAGAGTCTTTTTTTTTTGAATATTTTTTGTTTTTTTTTAGAATAAAAACAGGTATTTTTAGAAAATATTCAAAATGGAAAATTAACCAAAAACTGGCCCTGATATGAAGAACACAGCCACGAGACAGGGCAAACGAGAGCACACACCAACAGAAGAGTCTTTTTTTTTTTAGGAATATTTTTTGTATTTTTTTAAGAATAAAAGAAAGGTATTTTTAGAAAATATTCAGAAATGGAAAATTAACCAAAAACTGGCCCTGATGTAGAGCTAACACAGCCACGAGACAGGGCAAACGAGAGCACACACCAACAGAAGAGTCTTTTCTTTTTTTAGAATATTTTTTGTTTTTTTTTAAGAATAAAAGACAGGTATTTTTAAAAAATATTCAAAAATGGAAAATTAACCAAAAACTGGCCCTGATGTGGACCAAACACAGCCACGAGACAGGGCAAACGAGAGCACACACCAACAGAAGAGTCTTTTTTTTTTTAGAATATTTTTTGTATTTTTTTAAGAATAAAAGACAGGTATTTTTAGAAAATATTCAAAAATGGAAAATTAACCAAAAACTGGCCCTGATATGAAGCAAACACAGCCACGAGACAGGGCAAACGAGAGCACACACCAACAGAAGAGTCTTTTTTTTTTAGAATATTTTTTTTATTTTTTTAAGAATAAAAGACAGGTATTTTTAAAAAATATTCAGAAATGGAAAATTAACCAAAAACTGGCCCTGATGTGGACCAAACACAGCCACGAGACAGGGCAAACGAGAGCACACACCAACAGAAGAGTCTTTTTTTTAGAATATTTTTTGTATTTTTTAAGAATAAAAGGCAGGTATTTTTAGAAAATATTCGGAAATGGAAAATTAACCAAAAACTGGCCCTGATGTGGACCAAACACAGCCACGAGACAGGGCAAATGAGAGCACACAGCAACAGAAGAGTCTTTTCCTTTTTTAGAATATTTTTTTTTGTTTTTTTGTTTTTTATTAAATTTTTATTGATTTATCACAATTATTACATACTATTGCATTTTATACATCAACCTCTTTAACATGTTGTTTTGTTATTTTGCTTTGACATTTCCTCCCCTTTTCTCTTTTTTTTCCTTTCTTTTTTCACCTCAGTGTTTTTTCACCTCAGTGTTTTTTGTATTTTTTTAAAGAATAAAAGACAGGTATTTTTAAAAAATATTCAGAAATGGAAACTTAACCAAATGCTCTCCCCGCAGTGGAGCCAACAGCCACAAGACGGGGGAAACGCACACACAGGCAGGCACACAAGATTCTTTTCTTTTTTAGAATATTTATTGATTTTTTTTAAGAATAAAAGACAGGTATTTTTAGAAAATATTCAGAAATGGAAAATTAACCAAAAACTGGCCCTGATGTGGACCAAACACAGCCACGAGACAGGGCAAATGAGAGCACACAGCAACAGAAGAGTCTTTTCTTTTTTAGAATATTTTTTGTTTTTTTTTAAGAATAAAAGACAGGTATTTTTAAAAAATATTCAAAAATGGAAAATTAACCAAAAACTGGCCCTGATGTGGACCAAACACAGCCACGAGACAGGGCAAACGAGAGCACACACCAACAGAAGAGTCTTTTCTTTTTTTAGAATATTTTTGTTTTTTTTTAAGAATAAAAGACAGGTATTTTTAAAAATATTCAAAAATGGAAAATTAACCAAAAACTGGCCCTGATGTGGACCAAACACAGCCACGAGACAGGGCAAACGAGAGCACACAGCAACAGAAGAGTCTTTTCTTTTTTAAGAATATTTTTTGTTTTTTTTAAGAATAAAAGACAGGTATTTTTAAAAAATATTTAAAAATGGAAAATTAACAAACAAATTGACAAAAACCGAAGGAAGGAATGAAGGAATGAATCCAAGCAAGGAATTAAGCAACAAGGAATGAATCCAAGCAAGGAATTAAGCAGCAAGGAATGAATCCAATCCAAGCTTAGTTGCAAGCCAACCCAATGCTAGCCTGAAGCCACCCTCCCGGACCTCCTCTCTTCTCCCTCGCCTCTGCAACAAATGAGCTGTACGGCCACGCGGAGCCGCTTTTAAAGGGCTTGCCGGCCAATCAGAAACAGCCACGGTGCACTGCTTGGGTGCTTGGGAGCGCCGGATTGGCTCCCAGGGCACCAGCAGCCTCCATCCCATTTACGAAACGGGCGGAAGCTCGTTAAAACTATGGGGGTTGCCGGTTCGTTATTTTTAAACCCTTCCGGGTTTGAAAATGTGTTTTGTAATCGTTTCGTTATTGCTAAAAATAACGAATATTTAACGAATTACAAAATTAACGAACGAAACCGCCCAGGCCTACTGGCTAACCCACATGTATTATATGGCTGTTATGAGACATCTTAAACGAAGCACCATTGTAACCATTTTTACTGTAATGTCTTTTAACTTGCTTTTAGGGTACACATTGAAAAGTTAACTTATGTTTTAGTTTTATGTCTTAGGGGATTGTCCTTGTTTTTATTTTATTTTGATGCTTTTATTTTTATTTTTATTTTATTTTATTTCAATGTTTAATTCCTTTGATGTAGTTTACTTTACATTACCCTGTATTATTTTGATGTGTTTATACCCATTTTGAGACATTGAATGTTTGCCTTTTTGTGTGTAAACTGCCCTGAGTTCCTCTGCGGAGAGAGGGCGGTCTAGAAATAAAGATGATGATGATTATGATGATAATGATGATGATTTAACTGACACAAAAACACAGTATGTCACAGCAAACAAGATATATATGCTGGATTTCATTTTATTATTATTATTATTATTATTATTATTATTATTATTATTATTTTGTCTTTCTTTATGTTATTTTAAAGGATCGTCCATTATCCGCACGGGAGAGGAGAAGGCTAAAGCAATCCCAAGAAGACAAACTTCCTTCAGGTAACTGGTTTATTTGTCCCATCTTCTTTTCTTAATGTATGGTGTAACTTCATACACTATATACTCAGGGATAAATCTAGGAATTTTAGTCAAAAATTCAACTCCAAAAAGGGTCAAGTTATCCATGGGTCAGTGAATATTCTGCCTTATCAAAAATGAAACGACTGCCTTCTCTGAGTAGAGGGTCTAAGGTCAAGAGTGTAGTCCACCCTGGAAGAACCTGAAAGAAGCACTGGTTCCCTTTGTTCTCTCTGCTCTGGCACCATTTCTGACCTTATTAAATGCCTGGCTGGAGAAGTAGTGGTGCCCAGAGTTGGCCGGATTAGTCAAGATTTTTCAGATAGCTTGATACTGGTGTGATAATATGTTTGAATAGGCAAAATGAGAATAAATTATGCATACTTTTAATTTATTCCTTTCTAGGTCTTCCTATCAGACGAGCATCTCACAGTATATCAATAGAAACAAAATCTTCACAGGAAGATTGTCATGATCATATGGCTCAAATTCCGTTAGAATCCAAGGTATGCAAAATAATGTTTGAAACTTGTGAAAGCAAGCAACTTTTATTGTTGCAAAAAGTAAATGTGGAATTAGCTGCCTTTGTCTCAATGATAGAAAAAACTTGTGCAAAAATACTGGCACTATGCTGAGGTATGTAAATGTGACTTGAGGCAGTTCTATAGAATCTGCAGATAAAAAATATGATTCAAGGGAACTAAAGGAGAAAAGTCCACTGGTTAGTATTGTGCTGGTAGGCTTAAATACCCTAAAGGCACCACATTGTGTCTGACCTTGGAAGCTAAGCAGGAATAGTACTTGAAGTCACATACACATTACGGAATTAAAATGTGTATCTATGCACATAAGAAACCTTTTGTATTGTCATGTTTCAACAGAATTTTTCAAAAGAATTTTCCAAATGCTGCTTTCTGAAAATGCAGCCATAACTGGGTCAAATTTGTAGGCTGCCCCTTCAATACAAAATAACAGCATTGCCTAAAAATGACTATTTATTTGAGTTATGTTCAAGAACTGTTCTGATGAGCTACATCTTATATTTTATCTATATTTACATCTGTTGAAAGTACCTGGTTGTTTTCTTCAACAGAAAAAGACCTTATCTAAATGCTCTACTGAAGATGAACTAAGCTCTTCTACCAGCTCTACAGAGAGGTCTGATGGAGATTGTAAAGAAGGGTAAACATTCCTGTCTTGTGTCATGGGAGTGAATTTATATATCTTCCTAGCTTGGTTATGACATCATTTTATCCTGGTTCAATCTCTACTAAAAGATTCTGCCCATATCTAGTTTCAACAAAGAAAAAATTACATTTTCTTAAAATTTTATATTTTAAAAACATGCTCTTAGATCAATGGTTATTTACCACAAACACCCATTTTTCTAACATACAGAGGAACAAGTCATTGATTACTGTATATACTTGAGTATAAGCTGCCCCGAATATAAACTGAGGCACCTAATTTTACCACAAAAAATGGGAAACGTATTGACTCGAGTACATATAAGCTGAGGGTGGGAAATGCAGCAGCTACTGGTAAATTTCAAAATAAAAAATTCATTAATTGAGGCATCGGTAGGTTAAATGTTTTGGAATATTTACATAAATAGATAATTTAATCCAACTCTGATTAAATAGTCTACCGTATACCATGCAGCTGTGGACAAGTCTACATAGGGACCACCAAACGCAGCGCCCAGACACGCATCAAGGAACATGAAAGGCACTGCAGACTACTTCAACCAGAGAAGTCATCCATAGCAGAGCACCTGATGAACCAGCCTGGACACAGCATCTTATTTGAGAACACAGAAATGCTGGACCACACCAACAACCACCATGTCAGACTACACAGAGAAGCCATTGAAATCCACAAGCATGTGGACAATTTCAACAGAAAGGAAGAGACCATGAAAATGAACAAAATCTGGCTACCAGTATTAAAAAACTCTAAAATTACAACAGCAAAACAACAGAGAGGAAACAATCAGACACAGATTAACCCCTCCCAGCAAGAGATTTTCCCAGGCTCAGGCAGGCCCTCAAATGCTAATGAAGGTGATCAGCTGAAACATTCATACCTAACTGCAGCAGGGAAGAGCTCCTTGCCCCACCCCAGCCATTCCACAGATATATAAACCCATTGTCCTAATTCCAACAGACCTCACTACCTCTGAGGATGCTTGCCATAGATGCAGGCGAAACGTCAGGAGAAATGCCTCTAGAACATGGCTCTATAGCCCGAAAAAACCCACAAGAACCTAGTGATTCCAGCCATGAAAGTCTTCGACAATACATTCTTCAATATAAATGTGCTTATGTATCCTTCCAATAATAATGAGAGTAAAATAATAAATGTAATAAAAATATCATAGTCAAATAATAAATAACCTTGACTCAAGCATAAGCTGGGCTAAAAAAAGGCTGAAAAACTTGGCTTATACTCAAGTATATAGGGTATATAGAAGTGTTTATGAACAAAGAAACAAGTGTGCAAAAGTAAGCATGATTACATCAGGTGCAGGCAGCTGCCAAAAATGCTAATTAATATTAGTAACAACAACGACCTATGAGAAAAATCAACTATATCTATGGAAAAAGCCCTTTTGTTTGGTATTTTAAATAGTAAAGTGGGCTTGCAGCTGATTTTAAAAGGATATATTTTTTCCTTTGGCAAAAGCCTAGAATTTGGAGGGTTCACAGACTCAGGCTTGGAGATGTTTATGTAAAGGAAAAGGCTAAAAAAAATCTAGACAAAGAAAACTTCTTGAAATTAAAATTGTCATTAAAAAGTGACACTAAGAGTGCTCATTGTTGTAAAAAATAGACACTCATTTATAGTCGTTGATTAAATCTTTAGCTCACCACTCTCCTTCACATTTTGTTGGCCATCTCAACTTTTTTCCTATTTCCACTTCATCTTAGATACCCCTATGGACAGTTTGGGAGCCCTCCATTTTAGAATAATATAATATGTCTTCCTATATAAATGTCTCATCGGTTCCATTCACTTTACAAAAATCCTAGGCCCAGTACATAGAATCTGTAATGTATCTTTGCCTCTTCCAACTCCAGTTCTGCAGAAACACTTCACAGAGGACAGTCCCTCCATACATGACTGTGTGGCAGCCAGTTTGCTTGATTATTTGTTCCTTGTATTTATTCTACAGCAGGAGGATGAAGTGAGAAAGCTCTTCTAAACAGTACGGTCTAAGCCATAGGCTAATAGAGCTCTGTATATTACGTGCTAAGTAGATCATTTGCTTTATTAATATCAAAGTATGAACTAAGGGTGAGATTTAAGCCATCATGTTATTCCTTTGCAGAAAAACAAATGAGATGAATGACTTAGTACAACTGATGACGCAAACACTGAAAATGGATAATAAAGAGAATGGTTCACAATCTGCAATACCAGAATCACAATTTAGGGTTAATAGAAAGTACCGGGACACCTTGATTTTACATGGTAAAGCTTCAGAAGAACCAGATGATTTTCCATTTCAGGAACTTCCTTCAGGTATGTGTGATATTTCAAAGCAGTGATACCCAAGTTACGACTTTGTACCAGACCTACACAACTTATGGCCCTCTGGGTGTTTTGGACTTCAGCTCCCAGAATTCCTGACCATTAGATAAGCTGGCTAGGGCTTCTGTGGGCTGGAGTCTCAAATACCTAGAAAGCCACAGTTGTACAGGCCTGGCTCTGTGCCATTAAAGGGTAAGGATAGTGATCTTGTTAAGCTCTTGTTCTTTTTTAAAGGAAGAGAAGGGCAGTGTGTCTCTCAAGCACAGAAGCAGTCTTGCTCCTCTCACTATTTTAAAATGAAAAATGTAATAGCAAGACAACAAACTCCCCAACTTAATTTTGTGATAATACTAGTGCTTGACATAGGCAAGTGATTAGTACTAGGTAATTAAGACTACAGTCTGCAAAATGTAGTCGGGAAATGCCCTTGGCAGAAATATTGATCAGAACTAAAATGAAATGGGAAGTGGTCCATGATGACTCTTACCAAGATAATGTATCTGAATTGCTGAAAAGCTAAACACAAGAGCTCAAATTATCTTAACAATGATTACACTTTTACCCCCTAGATGTTCTGTCTGGACCTGAAAAGATTAGGAGACTGGTTGAAATTCTGAGAGCAGATGTAGTTCAAGGACTTGGAGTGACTTTGCTAGAGAAGGTGTTTGATGTCCTGGTGGAAGATGATGAACGTAAGAGAGAGGTATGTAGTTCTTCCTTCCGCAATCTGGCAGTTCTTCTTCACAATGCTATATAATGTGACTGGAATCTGGACATCCAGATGTTTGAACTGCATTTTCAAACATCTGGAGGTTCAGCTATTGAACACCTGAAAAGTCATACCATCCCCATCCCCCTCCTTATTACAGGCAGTGTAGTATCTGAAAGATAGGAAATTTGAGATTCAGTACAACAGATGCCAATTTTTTGAACATCCAGTTTGGGAATTTCTTAAGACTCAGCAAGCACCAGCTTCCTTGCATGTTTCCAGATAGCTTTACTAATTGTGGAAAAAATAATGCACTTCAGAATTTTAAAGCAAGCTCCTCCTAGTTCGCTTGACTGAAATAGAGCAATTAGTAGGGCTGGGCGGTTTCGTTTCGTTAATTCGTAATTCGTTAATAATTCGTTAATTTTTTCAATTACAAAACAATAATGAACAATTCTGGAGCAATTATTTAAAAAACGAATTTTCAAAAACGTTTTGTAAATGCTTCGTATTTCGATATTGTATTCGTTTCGTTATTGTTTTGAGGTCATTTCGTTATTATTTCCGCACGTCTGGGCCAGTTTTATGGTTTAATTAGTGAAAAAAAATTATAATATCACACCAACAGTCAACAACAGAGGGAGAGGGAAGCTTCAGAAGGTTTTGGAGGTTTTTTAGCGTATTTCGCGGTCGCGTCCGCCATTAACGAATCGATTCGTTATTGTTTCGGAAATCGATTCGTTAATTTTTTACCATTTACGAAATTTCGTAAATATCGAACTTTTTAAAAGGAAAATTTTGTAATTATTTTAAATATCGAAACAAAAAAAACCCCCAAATACAAATTGATTTTAGAAACCAATTTTTCCGTTGTTACCCAGGCCTAGCAATTAGTCATATGGTAACTATTTTTTTCTTAATTCTCAAATACTTATTTCCTTGCACTTCGGATTAGAACCAATATTTAAAATTATATTATGCTATGTACTCTTTTTGATTAATCCTGAGAACGCTTAACTCTGAAGTCACAGCCATATTGAAGAATTGCTGTAATTCTAACTGTTTGAGAAATACGTACAGGCTGGTTTTGGGATATTCTATCTTAATGGTCTGATCAACTTCAAAATCAGACATATTTAAATCTATTGAGGTTCAATGGTTTTATATGTGTTTATGTGTAATTGTAGTTTATGGCCAATAGTCACTTGTGCAGTTGACCTTTCTCCTCCCAGCCTCCCTTATTTCCTCCAAATCTGCTCCAGAGGATTCATGAACTATGCAGAGCAGAGCAGACAAGGGAGAAGAGGGTCCTGCTTCACTGTGAGATCATTCCACTACCAGGCTTGTTTTTGCTCTAATTGATTCACTTGCTAGAAGTTATGTCTTGAATTACAAGGTATCTGATCTTCAAAAATATTTTTAACAGCTAAAACTGCGGGAGATCATGGGAGACAAGTACCCTTCTTACAGCATGAAGGCCCGTCATTTAAAGTTCTTGGAAGAAAATGTGAAGCTTTAAGATATACCTCATTAGAGTCACTCCTTGAAGGAAAGAACTAAACGTTGTTCCTTTATTTGTAGCTGACTTGACTGTTTATAGACATTGATCCCTGGGGTAGTTCTTGCTGTACAGTTTTTTTTAAAAAAAATAATGTAGATGTTATTTTGTTTATAAATGACAATGTATACGTTAAAATTATATTTGGGTTTTTAAATACAAGTTATAGATAGCCTTTCTGTAACTGTTTCATTTTCTTCTGTCTTACATTGTTTCTTTAAATCTCAAACCTTTATTAAGATTGCAATCTTGCACACAGTCACAAACAACTAATTCCACTACATCTTACTGATTTGTATAGTGAACCGGATGGAGAATTGCAACCCAACTACAAGCCTGCCACTACAAGTAGGGTAATCGCTAAGTTCTATGCAAATGTGGTAATAAAAGGAGGAAAAATGTCAAAATACCCAAAAACAGAGTAGCTCTTATACATTCTGGTGCTATAGCATCTTAGAGTTCAAACAGCTACAATGGGAATCAGTTCTTTATACAAAGATTAAATAAACTTAATTACTACCACTGCCATGAAATTGAGTTTAACACAATCACCTAACTCCTGGATCTGCAATCATTTATGTGCATTATTCTAATGATTTTTTTAAAAAAAGAAAAGTTTTTGGTTTTCATGTTTAATAAACAATGCATTTTCAAGTAACACTTCAAAATAGTGATAGGAAAGGCAATACACCTTGTGTATACAGCACAATAAACACTGTTAATACTCTGCAGCTTTTTATAGGCTTTATTGAGGATACAGCAAGATAGACTTTTAATTTCTTGTAAGAATACACAAGATCTTCAGCTGCTTTAGTAGACTTAATTGTTGTAGACTTCTCAACTTGTTGCAGAATCTTGCTTATTTATTCCTGTTTGCATGAGATTTTCAGAGGAAATATCTTGTCCTTTAGAGCCGATATGGCAAAACTGTTCATGTGTATTACATTCTCATTCTTTAATGGACAAGATCCAGAATTTAAACCATCAGATAGCAGTGGCGCTCTTGCTAGGTTTACATTTTGTAACTTGTTCTGTACAGAGCCAATTTCTGAATACTGATAGGAAATTAAATTAAAAAAACAAATAAAACCATACCATAGGAAACCAAATAAAAAAAACAGAAGCATTACATTTTAGATCAAATTTAATGGCAGAAAATGATACATGATATGCCAGTTTTCAGTTTTTAGGGTGCCTTTTTACTTTTCTGTCTGCTGGCTTCTTCTCATCTGTTGCCACTTCTTGAACAGGGAGCCACTTCAGAGGATTGCGACGGTAAATGGGCCATGGAGGGAGTGTGAGCTGTAAAAGATTTCCAAGAAAATTCATAACTGTTCCTTGATAAGATTTTTGTAAAGGACACAGTTTTGCTGAACATCAACATTAACAATTCATGCAAACCCATTAAAACTAGGCAGAGTTTTCAGTGTTTATACTGAAATTATTTCAGATATGTACAGAGAAAGATAATGATAAGTACAGAACTATAAAGACTAAAATAGAAAGATAAAGGCAGAAGATAAAGGTTCAAATATGAATTGTGGCACTTGGTAATGTGCCTTTCTATTATCCTCTTTTTGTAGAATGTGTTGTCTATATTACAACTGCAATCTACTGCAGCTTTTACAGAACTCATTGTTTGGATTACATTGCATATATTGTTTGCTATAGAAAGTACTGTTCTTACCAGACATGATACAGCAAATCCACCCATTACTATGTAAACTGTCCAGCCAAACTGTTCAGTGATGTATCCATAAATAAAGCCAATTACCTACAAGAAAAGTAAAATATATAAAAGGAAATCCCAGGCCACTGTCCAAACAAAGCGTAAAAGAATGTAAAAGGCACTGCATTACATATAAACTCAATTAGGTTAGGGCTGATTCAACAGGATAGTATTGAGCTTTAACACATAATTTATTGATACCTTTAGACCCCATGGCTCCAGGGACACTGCAATATAGGCATGCATTGAATCCAAAATGCCACTTCCGAGAACAGAAGGGCTTCCATTCACATAATGAACTGAGAAGAAGTTAACAGGAAAAGCATAATGCTATGTTAAAAGAAAGTCATAATAAACATGGAAGGGGGAGTCTCTGAAAAGGTTTTTTCTGATTAACAAGATAAGGTTTTTTAAAAAGGAAAGGAGAAGGGAGAGAACAGTTAAAATGACCAATAACTATCTCCTGTCTCTGAAACTGGCAGAAGGAGACCCTACTCACACAACTCTGGATTGTTCCTCTGCCACATCCAGAGGACTCCCATCCATTCAAAGAAACAACATATAAGCTGAATTTCAGTCACTGAAACTGGAACCATACAAACTTTAAAGGAATAAGCTTAACCAATGACATTCATCTTAGATTACTTTTGCAAAGATCACATTTTCATTTCATTATACTTACAGCAGAGAAAAGAATTATTCCCTGAAAAATCTGCTCTGCTAATTTCTGGCCTTTATAGTCCTGTGAAAGAAGAAGAAAAGATATGTATACACAACTACTATGAAGAATAACATGGCAGTTTGGAAATTCATTTAAATCCAAATTGAGTAGTTTTACATGGACAAAGCATATCAAGAACATATATTTCTATCCAATGTAAAAGAAAAGGTAAAGATATCAATAGAAATGGGGAATCAGGTTTGCTGCCAATGCCCCAGAGTGTTGCCAATCCAGTTCAGTGCCAGTCCCAGGACCTTGCTGAGTCCTTAGTGTGCAGCTATTGGTACTACTCTGCCCCAACTGCCTCTCATCGAACACTATAGTCAAGAAGCAGTGGCTGGAGGAGGAATCCAATTAGATTACTGCTGATTCTTTTGTGACATTTTTAGGATCAGCAAGTTGTGGATGTTGCCTAAAAATAGTGTTAACCTAATTCTAGCAGGTTTTGACAGTAATTTGTTAAGTGTTTTTATACAACAAAGAACACAATATGGTGGTTCTGCCCTTTATGGTAGGAGAATTCACAAGCATATTCAGGTAGACTTTTTTAAAAAAGGCTTTGAACTTTGATTTAACCGTATGTGCTGACAGTGCCAAATTTGAAGAGATCCTATAGGGCAGCTATAGAGGCTGGATAATTGCAAATCTGGCAGTATTGTGTCCAGCATAAGCATAATGCTTGGTCAAATTTTCAAGTCTATATCTTCCTTTGCATGGAAATTGTTGCAGTCTGAATATTGGTCAAAATTTGTCACAATGAGTCACGACACATTTTCATGCACATTTTGAGTAAACTTGTTTGACTGGATTTTGCATCCATCATTTTAAAATTAATTTCACTGGAATCAGCAAAAAAAAAAAAAAAACTACAGGATTTCTATTGACTAGCCATTCTTATACATTTAGTTTCAATTTTATTAGAACCCAAAAATTACATTTTGTTAAATGTTGTGCACATGCTGACTGGCTACCATTCAGATAAGGGGGTCTAGATCAGCAACTATAGCAGTTAGAGGCCTCAAATTTTGGGAAACTTAGTTTAACACAGAACTAGCACTACAGCTAAAATTTGAACAAAATTGGAGACCATGGTGGTGGTGGTGGGAAGATTTACACCACTTCGCATGGAATGACCAATTTGTATACTTTTATATTTTTATACAGATTTTATCTGATTATTGTTATCTTTGAGGTAACTTGATTACAGGTTTTATCCCAGGTTGTTTTATTGGCTTATTTTTAATTGTTCATTTTTAACTGTTTGTTTTTACTTTATCTTTATTTTGTCATTGTATGTGGCAATGAATGTTTGCCATTTTTGGTTTTGGAAGTTGCTCTGAGTCCCTCTGAGGAGGGAGGATGGGTTAAAAATAAAGTGGGTTGTTATGAGTTTTCCAGGCTGTATGGCCATGCTCCAGAAGCATTCTTGCCTGATGTTTCACCTGCATCTATGGCAGGCATCCCCAGAGATTGTGAGGTTTGTTAGAAACTAGGCAATTGGGGTTTATGTATTTGTGGAATGTTCAGGGTGGGACAACCTGAACACAGCATATTATTTGAGAACACAGAAATGCTGGACCACTCTTAACAACCACCATGTCAGGCTACACAGAGAAGCCACAAGCAAGTGGAGAATTTCAACGGAAAGGAGAAATCATGAAAATGAACAAAATCTGGCATTAAAAAACACTAAAATCAGGATAGTAAATAAAAAACAACACTCAGAAAACAAAGGAATTCCAGACAATAATCAATCAGGGCCTGCTAACAGCTCCCAAGAAAGGATTCCCCCAGGCAGTAAGCAGCAAACCTTGAAGCTGAAAGGCTATTCAATGCTAATCAAAGTGCCCAATTGCAACATTTCCATTTTCCTCAAACAGACAAGAGTTCTTTCTCCCTACCTTGACATTCCAGAGATATATAAACCCCAATTGTCTAGTTTCCAACAGACCTCACAACCTCTGAAGATGCCTGCCACAGAAGTGAGCAAAACGTCAGGAAAGAATGCTTCTGGAACATGTCCATACAGCCCAGAAAACTCACAGCAACCCAGTGATTCTGGCCATGAAAGCCTTTGACAACACAATAAAAATAAAGTATTATTATCTGCACGTGGATGTTGCTTTTAGAGACAACCTCTGCTGCAGAACATGAACAACCAACCAGGACCAGCTTTGCTTAGGCCACGTCTGCTTTACAACCACAAACAAAAAGGCAGTTTCCGGTCTAGTGCTTAGATGCTTGAACACTTTGTCCTGTCCTGAAAACAAAGAGAAGTGTTCAGCTCGTAATATTACATATGAAAGTCTTACTTTTAGATGCTTTACTTATGGCTGAGAAGTTTAAATTTAAAGTAGTTGCTATGTAATTATTACTTTCTGTGTCCAGTTTTGCTCTGATTCCCTTACAGTTGTGCTCTGCGAGTTTGTAATCCACCAAAGCACGAAAGGCTTAAAACAGACTAGGCGTGTGTCTACACCAGGCATGGGAAGACTTAGGCCTTTCGGGTGTTTTGGACTCCAACTCCCACCATTCCTAACAGCCTCAGGCCCTTTCCTTTTCCCCCTCAGCCGCTGAGGGGGAAAAGGAAGGGACCTGAGGCTGTTAGGAATGGTGGGAGTTGGAGTCCAAAACACCCGAAAGGCCTAGGTTTGCCCGTGCCTCATCTACACTGTAGAATTAATCCAGTTTGGAACCACTTTGGTTCTATACAGTGCCCCTTCTACAGTGCGGAGCCTTACCATCTGCGTGGGGATGGAGGGGAATACGTGAAACATGGCGCCCCACTTCGGAGGCTCCTCGGCCTTGCACACGGGCCGAGGCAGAGGCTCTCCCTGCGAGTTGGCGTCCGAGAAGGAAGCGGCGAGATCGCACGGCGGAGGAACTTCCGGCTCTCTCGCGCAGGCGGTCCGGCTCCTAAGGGCGGGCAGGAATAAGCTCGCCGGAAGCGGCAGTTTACTCATCGCGTTTGAGCTTCCGGGGCGGGGCCGAGCTCCTCCTCCAAATCAAAAGGATTGGTTCCGCGAGTCTGCCCTCGCTCGCGAGTGTTAGGCCGCGTCTCCATGGCAACGCGAGGCGCAGAAGGACCCCTCCTGCTCATGAGCCTTGGAAATCTTAGGAGTCTAAATCAACGCGAGGCGCAGAAGGACCCCTCCTGCTCATGAGCCTTAGGAGTCTAACTCGTTGCCTGCTCTGTCTTTTATTTTTGGTTTTGTTTTGATATTTTGGCCGTGCTTAAAACGTTACAGGTGGACACTGCACGCATTTAAACCTTAATAGGATATACTTTTGAGCCCGGCGACGCAGGCATTTGTGTATGATCCCATCAGGCACTGGGGAAGACCGCCTCTTACTATTCCAGCTGTTCAGAGCTGAGCGCCGCTGTTGAGTTGGCATTGCGTTCGCGGCTGCCAGACTGAGCGGAGGGGAGAGAGGAGTCGGAGGGAAGCTGCGTTCAGGGGAAAGAAGTAAGATTCAAGGCGGGGGGGACGGGACAATTTTAATTTTAAAAGTCTTTAATTAATTACTGGGTTGCTGTGAGTTCTCAGGGCTGTTCCAGAAGCATTCTCTCCTGACGTTTCGCCCACATCTATGGTAGGTATCCTCAGAGGTTGTGAGGTCTGTTGGAAACTATTCAAATGAGGTTTATATATCTGTGGAAGGTCCAGGGTGGGAGAAAGAACTCTTGTCTGTTGGAGGAAAGTATGAATGTTGCTATTGGCCACCTTGATTAGCATTGAATGGCCATGCAGCTTCAAAGCCTGGCTCGTTGCTGCCCAAGGGAATCCTTTGTTAATAATAATAAACTTTCAGTTGTAGGTTTTTTCGGGCTATATGACCATATTCTAGAGGCATTCTCTCCTGACGTTTCGCCTGCATCTATGGCAAGCATCCTCAGAGGCAGTGAGGTCTGTTGGAACTAGGAAAAAAGGGTTTATATATCTGTGGAATGATCAGGGTGGGACAAAGGACTCTTGTCTGCTGGAGCTAGGTGTGAATGTTTCAACTGACCACCTTGATTAGCATTTGATGGTCTGGCAGTGCCTGGGGCGGAGCCCCCGGTGGCATAGTGGGTTAAACCCCTGTGCCAGCAGGACTGAAGACCGACAGGTCGCAGGTTCAAATCCGGGAAGAGGCGGATGAGCTCCCTCTATCAGCTCCAGCTCCTCATGCAGGGACATGAGAGAAGCCTCCCACGAGGATGATAAAAACATCAAAAATCATCTGAGCGTCCCCTGGGCAACGTCCTTGCAGATGGCTAATTCTCTCATACCAGGAGCGACTTACAGTTTCTGAAGTCTCTCCTGACACGACCCAAAAAAAAGTGCCTGGGGCAATCTTTTGTTGAGAGGTGATTCGCTGTCCCTGATTGTTTCCTCTCTGTTGTTTTGCTGTTGTAATTTTAGAGGGTTTTTTTAATACTGGTAGCCAGATTTTGTTCATTTTCATGGTCTCCTCCTTTCTGTTGAAATTGTCCACATGCTTGTGGATTTCAATGGCTTCTCTGTGTAGTCTGACATGGTGGTTGTTGGAGTGGTCCAGCATTTCTGTGTTCTCAAATAATATACTGTGCCCAGCAAATAAACTTTATTTATATCCTGCCACCATCTCCCCAATGGGAACTCGAGGCGGCTTACATGAGGCCAAGCCCAACAATGCAATACAATAAAATAAAAATCAAAACACAAAACAACAGCAGAATAAAATACATAAAACATAAAAATGCAGTTGGGAGGTGTTAACGGACCCTGATTGCTTGCTATCTGTTTCTGAGTGTTGTTCTTTATTTACTGTCGTGATTTATTTATGTACCTCTTTCTGACTGATCCAGCACAACACGTGTGTCTTTATTCTCAGGGTGCATCTGCATTGTAGAATTAATGCAGTTTGACAGAACTATAGATGCCTTGGTGCAATGCTATGGAATTTGTAATTTCACGATCTTTTAGCCTTCTCTTCCAGAAATTACAACCACAATAATCCAATAGTGTAAAGGTCAGCCGTGACCAGCAGTGTTGTAGAATTTGAAGAGGCACGAATGGCGGGCGAAAGAGAGATGTGTCAAGAGAAAGGCTCGTCAAACCAACCCTGACCAGGACCGCCTTTCACTTGCAAACCAATGCCCTCGCTGTGGGAGAACATGCAGATCAAGAATAGGGCTCCACAGTCACCTGCATACCCACCGCCAGGAAGAGAATCCTACTCGGACAATTAGGGATTGCCTAAGTAAAGTAACTAAGTAATCCAACAGTGTAGCTGTAACCACAGAAGTTGTATAATCTCCTCATTTTTATCCAGCAAAATGGCCAAATGGATGTTTGTAAGCAACTCTCCTTTAGGACAGTGGTTCCCAACTTTTTTTTTTAACCAAGGACCACTTTCACCAAGGACCACTCTCCAACATTAGTACCAAAAGGGTTACAAATCAGTTTTTGGTCAACTTTAGATTTGGTTTGGTTATTTGGGGTGCTGATTCAGAATTTTGCATTGGATAGACCACATTGGTCTAGTTTCTGATACAGAACAAGTGCCATCCAGTCGTCACCATCTGCTCATCCACAGAAAACCATATTTGATATGTCTTGGCACTATAAGAGGGTTTTGTGAGACCAGTTGCTCTTGTTGCAGTGGTGTAGTAATGTTGAGGCCGTGGACAATATTTTAGTTCTTGGGGACCACTGGTGGTCTTCAGACCACAGGTTGGGAACCACTGTATTAGGAGGAGATGATAGCTGCTTTTTAACTGGGAGGGTTGTCTAAATAACAACACAATAACATCACTAAATAACAGGGTAACTGCAACTTTTTGGGGACAGTAAACCCATACCGGTTGAACACCTGGTGTGTTTCCCTCTTACAGATTGTTGAAGAGGATCAATTGTTAATGCAGAACATCCAGACATAATGACATTCAGAAAAGGTATTTTCCCCCTTAAATAGTATTCTTAAATAGCTTTAAAAAATTGAAATATTCAAGATCTATGCACACATCATTGTACTAACTGTGTTCTTTTTTCTTCTTTTTCTGTTGCAGTAAACATTTTCATCCTAGTGCTTGTTGTTGTTGTATTCTTGCTAGTGCTGCATCACAACATACTTGGTCTTAGTGATCTCTTAAAAAGAGAATTTTCAGGTAGGCCTTGTCCTCTAGGAGCTCTGTGTTAGAGTAATGTTTATTTGATAGGAAATAAACCATTGTATTAAATTTCCTGTTAACCCCTTTCTTCCTATTTTATGGCATTTCTTTACTCAAGCTTTGATTACTTATTTCATTCGACCCTACTCGTTGCCTGCTCTTTTATTGTTATTTAATGTTTCTCACTAAATGCCAATAGAAAAAGTACCTTAACCCCTGGGAAGCCTTACTCTTCCAGGGAGGCTGCATGTGGCCCATTTCCCTATATATGAAACCTCTGGGCAAATATTTCTCTGTATTATCAAAACCTTAGAAAAACATGGCGCATGGGAGATCATGTGTTTTAAAGCTGTTTTGTGATCCAGATACTTCCAGTGCAGTATGTATCAAAACAAGTTGTGTTCCCCCCTTGTTTTAAACTAGAAATAACTTGATTTTGCTGAAGACCAGATATCCAGCATCTTGGAAGAAGTAGCAGAGTGCAGCCCTAGTAGTTTTAGAATCAATGAAGTCTTTGACTTGAAGAAGTGACTACATCTGACTAAATGCATAGTTTTTATTGCAAGTTTGGTTTTAATTATTCTATATGTCTGAAAGATTATATTGTCTGTAGTAACGTTCAACTTTCAATCAATACATCATTGGGAAATGCTAAAATTTTTGTTTAAAGTCGGTTATCTGAGAGCTAGCTGGATTAATTGGAAATATTAAGTAAAGGTGTACAGTAGCATTCATTGTAATCCGGTGAAGTCCAAAGCACCCAGATGGCCGAAGTTTGCCCATGTCTGATCTACACTGTAGAATTAGTTCAGTTTTGCGCCACTTTAACTACCATTGCTCAGTGCTATGGAATCCTGGGAGTTGTAGTTAAATGAGGCACTAGCTGACTTTGGCAGAGAAAGTTGAAAACCTACAGCTCCTAAGATTCCATAGCATTGAGCTATGGCAGTTAAAGGAGTGTCAAACTGCATTCATCCTGAAGTTAAGATGCTCACATGGAAGGGTGTCATTTCAGTTATGTGCTACTTGTGGGTTTTTCTTTGGCTGCTGTGTGATTAAAATGCTGGACCTTATAAGTCTTTTGTTTAGTTTAGCATGGGTTTTATGCTTATGTAATCATGCCGCTAATAATGTTCTTTGAAGTTCTCATAATCATGTCTGGGTTTGCAAGACCTCAGGAGGGCTATTGAAAAGAGGATGACTAAGAGATTCTTCATTCATAGTGCCATTATAAGTTGAAGTCAGCTTGATAGCAATGAAGAACAACAAATATCATTATAAAGTCTTTGCAATGCTGTTGTCTTGCAGATTCGAGTCCATTAGGACTCCAACCAATAGATTTTATACCTGAGGCTCCTCAAAGGTGGACAGAAGGTCAAAATGACAAAGAAATCCCTGTGGTCATTACAGCATCTGATAATAGGCTTGGCGGTGTAATTGCAGCTGTGAACAGTATTCAGCAAAACACCAAGTCCAACGTAACATTCCACATTGTCACTCTGAATGATACAGTAGACCACTTGAGGTAATGCTTCTTGAATTTTGCTGCCGATCAGTATCTTTCAGTCCTGTATTCTCTGTGAGAAGTAATTATGGATAATACTCAAAACAATTACTTCTCAAAGGAAAGAGGTTCATTGTCTTTCTTAATTGTGGTTGTATGCAGTACTTTGTTTGGAAATAAATTGGAAGGCAATGTCTTTGGTTCAAGGCAGGTGGCACATAGTATATGACATGACATATGGCTTCTACATTTTTTTCCAGCTGCAGTTTCTAAACTCTACAAAGGGGAAGCCAAGAAGTGCATTATGGTATTCAAATTATTAAATAATTAAAGCATGG